AGACCATGGGCAAACGGAATGCCCGCCGCAAGAGGAATCAGTGCCGCACCTCTCATCTTGACTGACCGAGCGTCTGCTTTCCTGTTCACAGACACGTTATAACGTAACTTGCGAAAAAGCACAAGTCCAAGCCGGATATGCCGCAGCCCAGGGAGATTAAATCGGCCCCCAAGAGGCAAGGCCACAATTCCTTTCTGCCTGTTTTCATGTCAGCTTCAACAGCGAGGCTAAGGCAATAGTGTGAGCATGGTGCTCACACTTTGCACTGGTATAGCCAGTCATCATCAACAAAGTGACTCAGCCCCAATTTTGGTCAAAGCAACGGCTGCGTGGAGCCTTTCGCAACGAACGCTGGATCCAAAGGGTCTGACTTCTACACAGTACAAGCGAGCCATCGTGACCTTGGACGGCTAGTTCCGCTTAGCTCCGACCAATTCTCCGAATTCGGTCGAGCAGCCGGATGTTCGGCGGTTCATGGCCGTCGGGCCTCCATCCTAATTTGAGCAATCTAATCCGTCTCCATCGCAATCTAAGACATAACGGCGATGCGCCTTCATTGGGCTGTTGCGAACGGGTTTTGCGGCCATTCGCTTGGCGGTGGGCCAACTCCGTAGCCGCTTTCCTATCATGAAAATCGCTCATGCTGACTGCAGGAAGCGGGCATCAGGCTTTCCATCTGTCGGAAAATTCTTGATCCAGCTGCGCTAGAGAATTCAGGTCGCTAGAGCGCCTGTGCGGGCAGACTAGCTTCGTGCAATCCCGAATATGTCTCATTGCCATGTGCAGGGTGTACGAGCAACTCAGGGGTAGTAAATCGGCGTGGGAATTTTGGCAGGCAATTTGCGCCTTGTGGTGGCGCGCGACATCCACCACTACATTAGATACCATCTCTAGGGCCGCTTTTGAGTGTTGCAGCCCTTGCAAATCAACGGTGTCGAAAGGGCAGCTCAGGACTTCCTGGTGTAATAGGCAGAGGGCTCTAGCCGATTCAGTTAGCTGCAGCCGAGTGGCGTGGTTCCTTAGACTAGTACTCATGGGCCTTGGGTCACAATACATGGGTATTACGGTTGACATACCTCACTGCAGATGCTATAGGACTGCAATCATGGCCAATTTCTGCGGTACCCGTGTTCATCCGTTCGTAAAGGAAGCTTTGCAGCTGCTTGTCGAGTTGTTGAATCTCTACCATTCTACCACTATTAGTTTGGGGGTGCCTTCGCACAGCCAACACGCGGTCGAGAAGGAGCACAGCTCGTGCTTGATGGCCAAAAACGCAAGGTTTCCTGTCCTGGTTCAAAGGCAGACAGTCATGTGGGCAGCCTCCTACTGAACGAGTATTGGATTGGACAGGCTGTAGGTCACTTGGTAGAGGGAACTCAGAAGACGGACAATCTGTCGTAGGTCGTTGTGTCTTGTCATTGATTTCGCATAAAATAAGCCTAGGCTGGGTGAGCCTGCGTTTCGAAGACCTTGTAGTTGACCTACCTCTCGAGAATGATTACACCCCACCACAGATTCAGACGCTCCAGGCTTTCAGATGAGATAATACTAGCTTCAATTGTCTGCCAGGAGCTGGGATCTGCTAGCCTAGTCACAAAAGCACTTTTAGCTACACCCCCCATCGTAATGTGCGCTGCCTCAGGCCGACCGTTGGCATACTCATACGCAGCGATGAGCAGTCCAGCCTGAATGAGATATGTCGAGGCACACGTTATCGATTGGGCTTCGGCAAATAGCATCTTCATAGTAAAATATAGACTATGTGGTGTTATGTGTGTATTGAGTTTTGACGGCTGCAGCGTCACCAGGCACATACCCAGCACAAGGACAGAAAAGTCCACCGGTGGTGAGCGAGACGGGCTATTGTACCGAGCCAAGCTTTCTTGAAACACTTCATACGATACTATTGGAAGCCAGTTGTGAAAGTTGCTGAAATACCGGCAACTGATCTCCTGCAGTGAGAGGTCCGCCAATTGAATTATGCGGCATACATGGTACCATGTCCTTCTGGGTGCCGTTGACATGTTTTCCGACGGCGGGCCAAACAGGGAAACCATCTGTAACAATATCGCATTCATTTCTATCTGAGTGATCGCATCCGCAACGGGTTCTTCAGCGACTGGAGATCCTTGGTATCGACATGGCAGGTTCCGTTTGGCGCAGTAACCGCAGGTTGGGAGTTTCTTGTCGCATCCCTTCTTCCTTGATTTGCAGGTTAAGCATACATGCGACGCCCGCTCTATCACTGGTACCTTCATTCTTCCTGTTTTCCTCACTTTAGGTTTTTCGATCGGCCATTCGCAACAAGGGAGCGTGTATCTATTGGTGTCGGTCGGCCTATTATTGAACTGTTAGTCTCGGACAAAAGGTGTGAAGGGAACACAGAAAGAGCAAAGATTAGCAAGGGGTCGAATCAGTTTAACTCACTGGGACTGTCGGCCGCCGCTAGGCCGTTGTGGCCGATAGTGGCGTGGATGATGATGGTGTCTTATAGATGGATCGACACTTGCCATGCCAGGGACACATCACGTGATATACCAGCTGGCTGATGGGACTGTCGGCCGCCACTAGTCCCGTTCTGGACAACAGGTTATCCCCAAAGCAGCGCTGTCATTGGCTGATCGGCCAGCTGGAATGCCATTACGACTTCAGTGGGAACACAACAGCTGCATGGATGAGTGTTGCTTCCGTCACCTCTCGCCAATGTGCTGAGATCTTCATTTATAATGAATGCCCTTGCGTTTTGTCGCAAATCTTCGCAATGCAATTACACTCAGCTGGAGCTCCCTGTCTTTGGGCAGTCGTCGTCGTTTGTTCTTCCCGTTCTGCCACAACATATACATCGTTCTATAGTCCGGTTCAATAGCTTATCATGGCACGCATCAACGATGTGAATCAGATGGAAAAGCAACTACCACAGTCGGAAAGTAAGCCAGGACAGCAAAATGAGATGCACACCCGAGCCAACAACCGAGAAACGCCCCTGTTGGATCCTGATTTCACTATCTCATTCGGAAAGGATGATCCTGACGACCCACGCAACTTTGGCAGCTGGCACAAGGTCTATATCACCTGCCAGCTGAGCATGCTCACCTTTGTTGCAGCATTGGGCTCATCTATCTTGTCTCCGGGACAATCAGATGTAGCGGAGTATACCAACATTAGCTCCGAGGTTGCAGTGCTCGCGACTTCGATGTATATCCTTGGTTTGCCTATACGCCACTCAAATTCGATTTCAATCGCTCACTCCTGCAGGCTGGGCGGTCGGTCCAACGTTATGGGGCCCAATAAGCGAGGTTTATGGCCGCAAATGGGGGATGCTTCCAGCTCTCTTTTGCTTAGGCTTATTCAGTATCGGAACGGCAGTAAGCCAGAACGCCGCCAGCATCTTCATCACCAGGTTCATTGGTGGCATCTTTGGCTCTGCACCAATCAGCAATGCCAATGCAGCCTTAAGTGACATTTACGCACCGAAAGAGCGAGGAATAGCAGTGGCATTCATGATGCTGTGTATCACAGGAGGGCCATCTGTTGGACCTCTCATTGGCTCTGCAGTGGTTTCAAATTCGAAGCTTGGGTGGCGTTGTAAGAATTGACACAAGTGACCATAATTGTACAAGCTGATGAATTCAGGGACCATGTATATTGAAGCTATCTGTTGTTTTGCCTTATTTGCCCTTGCTACCTTGACTCTGTCAGAAACATATTCTCCTGTCTTGTTGAGAAATAAGGCACAGAATATGCGCAAGACGACGGGAGAAAACAGGTACTGGCATCCTCACGAGCATGAGAGCATCAGCCTTGAAAATGCAGTTACGAAACATTTCCTTCGTCCGATACGGTGTGTCTTCGCGCGTCGCTCTTGTCGTGAACAATCTCTGACTTTCCCCAGCATGTTAACAACCGAGAGCATCATGGCCTGTGTCGCAGCATACGCATCTTTCTCGTATAGTTTGATCTATCTATGTCTCCAGGTATACCCCATTGTATTTGAAGAGGAACGTGGATACAGTCCAGTGATTGCTTCCTTGCCATTCCTCGGAATCCTTGGTGGCACAGCTTGTGCTGTCGGAATCACCTTTGCATATCGAACACGGTATGCCAAAGCGGTTATGGAAAACGGTGGAAAGGCCGTTCCTGAAGCACGACTTCCTCCGCTGGTACTCGGGGTGATCTTTCTGCCAACGGGACTATTCTGGCTTGGATGGACTGCAGCACCAAAGTTTTCGTGGGTACTGCCCACAGTTGGAGGAGGTATGCCATAGGATTCTCCCACGATGTCAAAAGACAGACTGACATCTATGCAGTATTCGTCGGCGCCGGACACAACATTATCTTCCAGCAATGTATTAACTATTTGATCGACACGTATGGGCCGTATGCCGCGAGTGCAATTTCAGCAAACACCATGCTGAGATCCTTGTTGGCCGCGGGGCTGCCATTGGCGGCGAAACCAATGTTCCACAATCTGGGCGTGGGACCTGCCGCTAGTTTAATGGGAGGCATCGCTTGTCTTGCATTGCCGATACCGTTCGTTTTCATGAAATATGGACGCACCCTGCGCGAAAAGTCAAAATTCGCACCAGCCAGTTCGGACTAGTTCTCTTACATTCTGTCACTGGCGAAGATAGCAAATTCCCCGCAACCCCGCGTCGGTGATGATGTGACGTCCGACGACCGACTGAATAGACGCCATCGATATACCACAGCTAGGAACTCAACACTTACTAGTGTCATGACATTACATTATGCTTACTCACAGATAATATAAATATACAATATCAGTCATGTATAATTTGTCAGTCGAGTGGCAACAAAACACTACTCAAGCCGATCGCTCTATATTATACATTGTAGTTATGATGTCTATCCCGAACCCTTTCGGTCATAATCAACGAAAGCAGCATATCCTTACGAGACCCCGCATGGCTCGGCTTTAAGACGGATCGTGGATTTGGCCTCAGACAGACTTTTTATAATGGAGAGGGACAAACAGTACAATGCTGGGATTACAAGGCCGTCAAGCACAACTTCTGCTAATGTTGTACACATATATGGGCGTCACTGATGCTGACCACCCAATGAATCGAGGACAGGCAAATGGGATTTTACTACAGTAAGGGCCCAAGGATGTGCAGAATGACAGCAGTGCCAAAACGGCCCAATTGCCGAGGACATGATCTGCAATATTGGCCGTCCGTGCTCATTGTACCCCGGCTACTGCATCATGTTTTGTCACAATGCCTGCACAACAAACATCGCTTCCACTCTTCGGGCCTACTACTCACTGCAATTTGTGGAAAAGGGACTAGATGTGGGGATTATGCGGGGTATGAGGATTGAAGAAAGCAGATATTCATGGAGTTGTAGATACAACTAATACGCCCGTCGTAGACATATAAACCTGCACAGCTCTCATTCCAAAACCCTCATTCTCAAACATGTTACCAGTACTAAGCATAGTATCGGCCTCAGTGGCCCAGCCACCTCATACTTCTCATTCTCTTCCTCCTCGTTGCAGTAGCGGCATCTTCTCCCATTAACAATGCCTCCATTTTCCCCATTGTCCACACAAACTATGGTGACATTCTGGGCACAACATCCCCCTACCGTCCCAACATCAAAGTCTTCAAAGGCATTCCCTATGCGGCACCTCCCACAGGCGAACTCCGCTGGAAGCCACCGGTCAAGCCCGAGCCATGGAGCGGCACATACAACGCAACAGAGTTCAGCGCTCAATGCCCCCAGGCCCTAAACATGGGCACTGGCCAATGGACGACCGGCTCAACCGACCAAAGTGAAGACTGTCTCTACATGAACATCTGGACCCCTATTACGACACCTTCCACCCCACTCCCCGTCTATATCTGGGCCTACGGCGGCCGCTTCGTTGACGGCTCCGGCGACGTTGTAACCTACGACGGCAGCGGCCTCGCCTCGCAGGATATCATAACCATCACCTTCAACTTCCGCCTCGGCCCTCTCGGCTTCCTCGCCCACCCTCTCCTCTCCGCCGAATCCCCTCACAACAGCTCCGGGAACTACGGTATCCTTGACATCATCGCCGCCCTGGAATGAGTGCAAGCCAACATTGCCTCGTTCGGCGGCGATCCCGCTCGCGTTACCGTGGGCGGCCAATCCTCCGGCTCGTCCTGCTCCTTCGACATGATGTACTCCCCTCTCGCCGACGGTCTAGCATCAGGGATCATCGCCGAAAGCGGCGCGCGATCTCCTCGAGACCCCTTAACGGGCAGCCTGGCAACAAGCTACCGTCAGAAAGACGAAGCCAAATCCTCTGGCCTCTCCGTGATGACCCCACTCAAGGCATCAACCCTCTCGGAAATGCGTGCTCTCTCCGTCTCAACCCTGTTAACCACCGACCTCCTCAACGCCACCATCTTCGACAACACAAACTACCAAAACGTCAGCACCTTCATGGAAGCTCCAGAGTGGCGCCCTGTCCTAGATGGCTACGTCCTCCCACACACCTACGCCTCCACCCTCTCAAACAACACCCACCCCAACATCCCCATCCTAACCGGCAACAACAAAGACGAGTCGGGAGCCGCCACAGACCCAGGATTCACACTCTCCACCTTCCGCTCTAACTTCTCCACCATGTTCGCGCCTTTCCCCCATCTCGCTGAAGAGTTCTTCTCCCTCTATCCTGCCAACGACACAGAATCAACTACCCCAGCCAATAACGCCTTCTGGGCAGACCTCGGCAGAGTAAGTACCTGGTCTTGGGCCCTAGACTGGTACGTTTGTGGGGCTACAGCTCCCGTGTACACATATTTCTGGGACCATGCCCCCCCGGGACAAAGTCTGGGTGCGTTTCACGGAAGCGAGATGTACTATGTCTTTGGGAACCTGCCGTATAACTATCCGGATATGCCGTGGACGGAGCGTGACTTTGAGATTGGGAGGGTGAGGGTGGCGTATTGGTCGAATTTCATCAAGTACGGGGATCCGAATGGGGAGGGGTTGGTGAGATGGGAGCCTAGTGGGGAGGAGAAGGAGACGATGTATTTGGGGATGAGTTTGAAAAGGGTAGGTTGACGGATGGGGTGGAGAGGAGGGAGTTGATGTTACAGTGGTTGGCAGAGTCGGAGGTTTGGTGAATATGGTGTAGAAGATAGAGTTAAATGCAGGGAGAATGGGAAAGAAGTCTGTGAGAAGGGGTAAATGGAGGAACTCTACAGTAGTTGTAAATACAGCAAGCACTTCTCTGGAGGTCCTGTGCCTCATAAGCAGTAACGGAGTGTTCGTTATATCGCAAAAGATACTCAAAAAATAATTTGTCTGTCATTCGTCCGCGAGCATGGAGGGCGTCGTGATATCCAACTATTGTTTTCCTGAACAAAGCAGAAATATCTACCAAGTAAATGCCTCCTCGAAGTACCGTATTCCCTGACACCCCCTTCTCATAGCCTCGTACACCGCTAACCGACACTCATCCGCCATCATTCCAGGTCCAGAGCAAAGCACCGCCAGCCTTGTACGGGACTCGCGAGTCATTTCAGCCTCTGTCTCAACAGCTCCATGAATATCAGGGCGGCCGTCGTAGTAGCACATATTTGACCCTGCTGCATTAGTTCCAGACCCAACAGCGTCCTCTTTGTCGCTCTCAATTAGCGACACTGGAGCACTTCCAGTACAGAAAAAGCTGACTTGAACCCCCTCACACTCTAAGACGTGGCTCAGCTCTTCTTTGAATACAGTGGAGAACATACTCTTCTGACGAGCGGACCATAATAGATGTATACTGGTCGTCTTCGTAGTTCGTCTTCTCAACCTGGCGGCATAGTCGAGTATATATGGCAGCGTAGCTGCGATGCCTGTCCCCCCGGCAATTAACAACACCGTGTCAAAGGTATGCAGCGGTGCCGTGTGGCCATAGGGTCCTTCTAGGAGGAGGAGTGGGTGTATGCTATTATTTGCTCTGATGCAGCGATCACGAAGCGATTTTGTCCAACCGTTGTAAGGACGGACGTAGAAGGTCAATTTGCTTTTCACCTTCGGTGAATGGGACGGTGTTTCGGAATATGCACCCAGTGCGAAAGGATGGGTTTCAAAACAATGCACGCTCAGTGGCTGGGAGAGGAAGTAGTGTTGGCCTGCCTTGGGTGTGACATGGGAAAGGGCCTCTATATCTATCGTCATTAGGTCACTGTCGGGAGCGTATGTAACCGTTGATGATGGCAGGGAGATTTTGCTTTCGCTGAATTTTATGTGGAGGTTGCAGTATGCGAGACGAAGTATGCGGAGGATGCGATCGAAGGTCCATATAGCTACTACAGTCCAGAGGTATGGGTTCCACTGTGGCCCGTCGGGGCGGGTATGTCTGATGGATTAGTAGGGATGAGAGAAATGGGACGAGTAGACCTACTGAAATAGAGCATAGATTATGACGATGGCTAGTACGATGTGGGAGATGAGGAATACCTCGTACCACTTGCATCGTAGCCTTGTGATGGAGTGGACTAACAAAAGTGACATGCCAATAACCGCCTGGATATGTTAGTATAAGTCGACAGAGGATGCAAACAGACTCACTATTACGCCCATGTACCACGGCTTATGGCTCCACGCTGCGTGATATGCATCCTCTGAATCGTTAGTGGTGCAATTGAAGTGAGGACAAAAGGCTTACCGTAGTCTGCTAAAATTATGCTGTACCCAATCGAGTGGACAATGGCAAGGAGTGTGCACGCCCATGCAATATGCCGATGAAATGTGTTGAAGGATTGAACGTCGAAGTCGGTTACCCAGAGGAAAATGTTGTTGCGTCCGCTAAAGAGCCATAAGAACGGTAGACAAGCATAGGCAAGAATACCGGTCCGATCGGACGAATAATGCCAGTTGCGCTGGGGCATGGTCGACGTCCTACTGCTGTTAACTTTGAACATAGGAAGATATGAGATGCTTACTTAGTATTTCCATCGTAGTTGACGCAAGCTAAGAGGACACAGAGAAGCCAGAAGCCGAAAACAATTATTAAATCAAGCCGCTTGGGAATGCAATGTCCGTAAAGAAGTCGCTGGTGATGAGGCAATTGTGGTGTGAAGCTTGCTGGAACAATAATATGGGTACGCAGAGCATGGATGGTTGACGATAAGGGACGAGAGATTTGCTTGTGTTCGATAGGTCCAGAGACTGCATTGGCTTCTGTATCCCTGCGTGGGTCCATAGTCCGCCTAATTGTCCAAAAGCTGAGGATTTTCTGCACCATTCCTACACCCAGGATAGCTGCCCAGTAACCCATTAAGCCCCAGCCAAACCGGATATCCTGGCACAAGGCTTTTTCATGAATTACCTGTGGCAGGAATTAAGCGTCTTTACGTTTGAAGAGGATAGGATGTACATACACATGTTTTGTACGCCCGCTTATAATATGACTCACTCAACAGGACAGGTGATTCGATGGTGCCAGTAGAGGCAGTCGTATTGACATCCGGATCAAGTATTGGCATTGAGTCGTACGATCTCGATCCATTAGGTTCAATAGATGAAAGATCGACGTCGCACAATTCCTGCCAGAACGAAATGGTAGCCGCTGGACTATTTCCATCACATCTCGCCCTTGCACTCGCATACATGGAAGCAATTTCCACCGTCCTGTTGCAGATATCCTCAAAGTTTGTTGTTGTCTCTATGTAGCTTTCCTCGGCAAAGAAGGACGTCACTGATATTGAATGATTGTAAATGCCTCCGGCAGGACCACTAGCAAATGTGTATTGTGATAGAGCGGTGTATATCGGACAAAGGCAATCTGCATCGAGGCTACTAATGACATCGAGGGAGCGTTTCTGCTCCGCCAGGGCAGGGACAAAGATAGCTAAGAAGGAAATTCGCAAGAACATTTCGCTTGTCAATATTGATTGTGAACTGACAACAGCCTGTTGCGCCACCCGGCAAATTATAGGTGCAACTCCCGGATAAAAACATTTTGACTTTCATCAAGGTCCTTCATATGCAGCACTGCCCGCACTCTAGTCAGCTATATTAATATCATGCCGTTGCCTGGAACAGCGTGTGTATGCATCAACTCAACGTGCGGGAGCGGGGCATAGGCCTGGAAACGGTGACTATGGAGATCTCGCAGATGACCACGGAAGGAGGCCCGTAACAAGGTGTTCAGGCGGTCTTTGGTCCGCATGAGGGGGAGGGGCACCATGAGGGGATGAATGGGGATAGAAAGATACTGTGGCTGTTGCAAGGCACACTCACAACGTAGGCAGTGGAAGGCACCACGATATCGACATTGCTTGCTTCTTTTGCTAACCACTAAATCCTAGCCCTGACAATTGACACTGTAGTCAAAAGATAAAAATGGAATCGGAAAAAGCAAATAAAAGTTTTGAACTGTCCACGGATCTGCAAGTGGTAGGCAGCACAAAAACAAGCCTTCCGTCGATTCTTGGCTGTCCTGCACGATGGCTATGGACGGGACAGGATGCATGAAGTAATGAGACTAATTTAGAATATCCCTAAGTGCCCCATCGATTTGGGTCGGTCGGACACGTGTAGAAAGGCGACACGACCGGGGGTTTCTTTTACACGTCTCCAATTAGGGACCTTGGAGGTTTCATTTTCTATCGCGGTCCGTAATGTTGTTTTAGCGACATATGCCTTCGATACATTAGAGGTAGGATCTTTGTGGAGAATAAATTTTGTCTTGCCAGGGATACGAACTTGTCTGAAAGAGTGATCTCTATGGTGACCAGTCTACATGATGCTTTCATCTCCAGCCCTAAGTGCTGAAGTTCCAATTTACAAATCCGCCCAGTATAAGTTTTGTTATTCTTATAGAGAGGCATCATCGCTGCATCGAATCGTCAGACACACTTCCCCGCAAATTCTTCTCCTCATCCCATTCGAGATACATACCTCTCCAATCTTTTTGCCGGAGGCTCTCCCTCTCCAACAAGGTATCCCAATGATGCCACATCCGACGGAACCGCAACCCCGCATTCCACCTGCAAGCCATCCCGTCCACCGTTTCATGAATGGCTGCGTCATTTCACTTTGGTCATCGGACTAGTAAATCTGCATGTATGACATCGTTGCATTAACATTATGCTTGGTGGGAATTTCTATAACCGAGGTGCCGGTATTTCCTCCGAAATTATACAATAGTCTACTCACGAGGCCAGGAAGGAGAGTAGACTATCTGGGAAAGTTGAACAAAGATAGGTAAAACGAGAATTGGCAGAAGGACTGGGATACGCGACTGACAAAGAGTCCAAACATGGATATCTGCAGAGAAGGTATAATATAATGCTAGAATTTCAAGATCTGTGGGGGGTTTCGGATATCGGGCTTATCAACAGAAAGATCGTGACTAGATAGTGCGGTATAAAGTATTCGTTTCTACATGAACACGCAGATTGAGGTGATGTGAGCAATTTTAAGGGTGAATCCCATCCCAGTCACCGGTCACTGGCTACTCTTCTAAAGTCGTGACTACTATCAACCAAGTTCGAGAAGAAATATCAACCCTACCAATGAATATATAAAAACCACCATGCTCCGGCTACATCTATCCTACATCTCCTTTAGTACTCTCTACTTGATATCCCAAATAGGCAGGTATATAGCAACCTTAGATAAACTCGTATTATATATATTTATATATCATGTATATATATCGAGTTATATCAAGAATGAAAGTTAAATTGTATATTCCTCACATTATCTCCACCATGTTAACTTTGAAGAAAACACCCTAGAACGAATTCCTTGGAAATCTTAGCATCCCCAGCCATACCATACAATTCGTAGCCTTTCGCAGCGACCGATAGTCTCCAGCTGCCAAGACGCGTGTGTGGTGGCGAGCACTGATGGGCCAATGGATATTATCCGCGAGAATATGATAACGAGGACGAGGTACTATATTACAGTCTCAGGGGTAATATCGTACATCAATTCGTATATAAGGGATGATCCACAGCGCCAACCCTCATCCGATGTCTGTCCCTTTCTATCAAAAGCTGATCACAAGCATCGAAGTAATTCAATTGCAAATGAAGGCTGATTTGAAATGCCGCGAGACCGACCTACCTACCTCGGAACCTGAGGAGAGCTTCTAAGAGGGTCGATGACAATCTCTTTTGAAGTGGATGGTTGGCAGGATAACCGACCGTGGATTGGCGGATGATGTTGCATCATCAACGTCGGGCAATGGGATTGGTGCCTTGGAACCTTGCTAGCGAACAAGCAATGCAGGCGCCAGCCAGAACTAGGCATTTTATTTCTCAGAGTACCAATCTGGCGATACTAACTTCAACAGTCGTAGAAAGGGTTGGAATGAGCGGTTCAAGGCAAAGTTATTATCGAGCACGGCTATCATTTTATTTGCATCAGATGGCAAGTATAACACTTCAGGCGAATCAATTTGACCAGAAAGTATTTTTTATTTCACAGAAGATACTGGCATTGCAAACATAGTCAGTTGCAGAAGAATTACACAGCAAAGAGAAGTGCGTTATACGATATCACATAGAATGGTGAGTCGGCCATAGCCTAATGCTGGTCAGAAGAGTGGCATAAAAGGTTTGAAAAGTAGTCAGAGGGCGTGATCAATATACAAGACTGATGGATTTCAACTCCATAGTTACGCTCAAGAAACATCGGTTCATGTTGAATTTGAGAGCAAAAGACGTCATGACCACCGTTTTCATATCGAGCTATGGCGCCGTCCGTTGCTCTTCCCAGTCCCCGAAGGGACACTTCTTACATATCTCGAAAGTCCAGGACGAACGCCAAACCTCACAGTGGAGTATTCTTGTTAAAATTTTTATATCGATTTCAAAGAGTACAAAGCCATTAAGCGCCCCCCCCCCCCCAAAAAACTTTCATTTATATACATGGATTATAGAAAGCACAATGACCGTGCAATCAAGATCGTTACTGCAGTCAAATCTGAGCTGATGCAGCCTGACGAACCAGTTGTCGGTCCGGATCTTCCAGAAATGCATGCTATTTTCATAGATTGCCTCGTCCAAGGGCAGACTTGCCACGCGGGGGAGATAAAGGAGTGTCATTTCGTTGTGTGTGGTCTATTCGAGAACATCCTGGTTGGCTCCCGTTCAGAAGTATTTGCCTTATTGAGTATAAATCCGGCGTGCGCTCAGCACCTAGTCTGAAGGTAAATCTTTTTAGTCTGCTGGATGGAGCTGGTCTAGCTTCCTTGCTTGTAGGGAAAGCGGCATATGGAAGAAGGACCCGGAGCGTCGTCTGTTAATGGTGCCAGTTATTATTGGAGTAGCTATCTGCCGAACACTAAAGCGGGCGAAATGCCGCGCCTCCGGCAAGTGGTTATCCTAAGCAGAACTTAGGTGGCGTTCACTACCCACCAGTTTTCCTGTGTTTCCTGCCTTGCCGCCAGACCCGGGCTATAGAACATTGTACAAAAGGTTAGGCACTTAAGAGTAGCTAGAAGGACCGAGAAGAGCAGAGAACAGGCTACATTGCGATAGCAAAGCCTTGTTTTAAAGCAAAAACACCACTACATCTGTCCGCGTGACTGTAGCAAAACGTGGCGGGTCCGAATTAACGTAGATAAATATAGCTAAACTAGACAGGTCTTGTGACCTGCCAACTTAACTACGAAGCTGGAGCTTCGAAAAGCTTCGATCCGTGCAGAGCACAACACGATCACGGATCATAAAACAGGCTATTATTGCGGTCCAGCCAGCAATTGTGCAGTGCAGTCAGCAGTTGGACGGGAATCCGGCCCAGATCCGACAGCCGAGGAAAAGGCGAAGAAGGCGAAGAAGGGGGAGGCGGGCTTCTGGGCCCGGCTGGACCAATGTGATAACAGTTGAGTTGATTAGTTAGCCGGTGGCAAGGTTTGGTCACGGGGTTGTGCCACATTCAGAATTCGTTCCTGAACCAACAATTCCATCCATTCCATTCATCGGCCCGAGCAAAGCGTGGCCCAGCGATGAAAAATTTGCCTCGTGTTCCTGAATTCGCCCGATCAGGTCATCCCGTAGTAGTAGTTGACAATGTCGTTGTTGTCCCTTCCTGCCACATCAGCAGCAGTAGCAACTGGCAAGAGCAGCAGCAGTCATGCCACATAGGGCAAGGGATACATGCGGTAACCCCAATTCCGGAGATCGGCGCTTGGCTTTCCAGCTCGATTGAAATGGAGGGAAGAAACACCGCCTTTTCGAGTTGGCGACAGCCTCAGGCTAGGAATTTAAGGTTAACTTTTTCTAGTAAAGTCTGTCGTACATCTTCTGGGGGTGAGCGTGGCTTGCTATCATTCAGCAAGTTGCGATTGCCCTCAGTTCCCTACCCACCCTAAGGCTTAAAATGTAGTACCAAGACAGCTCTATCAACTGTAACAAAAAAGACCTCAGGAGATCTTCCCTGCCAACTCAGCGAGGCCATGACATGGCGTCTATCAAGCCGGTCGCTGGTAAAATGTCGGTGTCATATTTTTAGGTCGCCTGATCGCCGCGAAGAGTTTTCCCCAATCCTTTAGTGTGCGGGCGAAGAGTTGATGCTCGCCCCTGAATGGATTGCTTCCGGCGTTCCACTCCATCCATCGCGGTGGGCCCTCCCACACCCCCTTCGCTTTCGGTATTTATTCTGGCACGCCTTGGGGGGCGATCCTTTTTTATCCCCATCAGCTCGCCAGAATAGCCCACACTTCCACTCTTTTCACCTCAGTTCCAATTCAGGACACTGATTTCCCTCACCACCATGGCTTTCGATTGCTACTGCGCAATCTGCGGTGTTGGTTTCTGTGGCATGCACATCGAGGCCCCGTCTGAGACGGCCCTCGAGCGCCGCAGGCGGTGGATCGAAAAGCGATGCCGGGCGCTGCAGGCCGGCAAAGACTTCAGGCAGGTGTCCCACGAGGGAGAGGAAAATGAGGAGCCCGTCCGCAGCTACGATCCCCGCATTGTTGGCTGGGACAATATCTCCTGGTTGTATAAGGCACACTGCCTGGGTGTGGATGAAAACGCTAAACCGGGTGCGCCAAAGTAGGTGCTGCTTCTGTTCGCGCGGTCGGAGGGACCCGTTTAACAATCTTTTAGAGCGTTTCTCTCAGATGAAGGATATTATGCCGATATTGTAGGCGCTCACTGAGTGCGAATCCGTGCGATCAAAGCTAATTAACGTATTAGGGCGAGTTTGTCGTCAAGGCCAAATCTGGTATGCTGATTGAGCGAATGTGCTTCGGTACACAATATTGACCTTCATGCAGATGGTTCTCGGTCGCGTTCTCAGCGCGTTTATTCATGGTGTGACAAACCCACTTCGTAGGCCCGTCTCGTTGACCCATTCTGACCGTTCAAAGCTATGGCCATGGCTCGGAGGAAGCGCCCGGTCCCGTCTTACCGTTCCACTGGTGCTGTTTTGAGATCTTAACTCGCGCACTGACGGGTACGACTGACACTAAAAACGTCAATCTGGACGTGTTGTACAATATCATGACGCCGTTGTGCAACATGTCCGGGTCCGCCCTGCAATTGAGCTACGGAGACGACATCCAGCGCTCGCAAGGCCGCTACTGGGAATGTATCCCGGGCGCAGAGGCAAGCATATCGTCACCGAGCTGCGTCTAAACCATGTTAACAATCCGAGCAGTACTGTGCCGCCCACCCGGTGGAAACACCCGGACTCGATGAACACCTCCAAAGCAACATGGAGACGAACAGCGGCTTGAAGACCCCGTTCGTGGAGCTGGATCTCCGCGACCGGAAGCCTGTCAGCCCATTCGGCAAACTGCCCCTTGAGATCGTCTATCAGATCTGCAAATTCTTGCCTAGCAATTCGCTGAAAGCACTGACTGAAGCCTCCCTGCACATTCACCTCGTCACCCAGGATAATCTATTCTGGAAGCAGTATATGCAGCAGAACATGCCATGGTTCTGGGAGCTTCAGGCAGCAAAGAACCAGAAGGTCCCGGCTGATCTCAATTATAAGAGGATGTACATGTGGCTTGAAAAGATGACTGCTCCGCGGTATGGCATGGACGATGTGAAGCTGATTGGTGTCGCCAACCGGAGACGCATCTGGGGTGTTTGCGAGGATCTTGCGGATCGGTACAACAAGAGCCTGAATCAGCCCACAATTAACGCAATGCAGTGGGGAAGTGGCTGAGGGAGTGTACTCTATGCTGTGATAAGATGGAGAAATAGTCCCGCCCGACAGTCTGGCGAGATGCCCGACCGATGGCTCCCCACGACGCGCTTCAACCTGAGCGTACGACACGTCGTTTCGATTTCGACCATTTATGGGGATCTCGTAACCCGTGTGACCTGGTGGTATGGATCAATCACAAGTAGCTTGCTGGATGTGCAGGGTGAAAGTGATAGGGAGACTGGAAACAGTTTTGATCCTTCGGTCAGGTTCGTTAGGAAGGTGGAGAGACCAAAGTTGGGCACGAGATTTGGGCGATCAGGTCATGTGCTACGGAGTATTTCACTTGATACCTTAGCACTAATACTCACTCTTGATTACCAAGTTTTGTAGACTTGCATCTCATGGAGTCAACCCTTTTTTGATAGTTTACTTCTCCAAGGGAATGTTGTTCTTCGGGAGTCTACAGCCAGCTGCATATCAACGTCCAGCTCAAACATCCATGCATTGCCACCAAGTTCATACTTCCAATTTCACTATTTTCCTGCCCCGGGGATCAACACAAATAAACAACAGCTCAATCAAAATATCCCACATAAGTGTGAACCACACAAGCACATCCACCTCCAATTAATCCGCCTTGTTCTTCGCAAACCGCCCTGTAAACCTCCGAATCTGCTTCCCCCAGATAAACACCGGAATCCCCAACAGCCCAAACGCCGCCGTCAAGGCCGCATACGTCCCAAAAGCCCCATCATACCCATGAAGCTCAATAAACGGCGACACAGCATAACTCGTCCCAAAGGAGATGAACCCCCGAAAGGCGCAGATGATAACCAACAGTGGGCCCGACCTTCCCGGATAACTATCAAGTAGGTACGTAATGCCCACGATATTCGCCCCAACGAAGCAAAAATAGTACGCTGCCACCGTCCAGGCATATATGAACCAGTGGTATTGGTAAGGGTGGGCGCCACCTTGGCCATATAGTGCAGCTGTGAAGGTGCCGACGATGATGGGGAAGATGAGAGGGATGATGCGAATTTCGGGCTCGTGGATACCGTTGTTGCGTTTGGCAAAGTATTTCACTAGGTAGTCGGAGCCGTGGCCGAGAAGGGGCAGGGCAACGATGGCGACGATGATCTGGCCGCAGTTGATGTAGCTTGCGCTGCTGTCGGGCCAGTTGTAGGGTGGGTTGGCGAGGATGGTGCTGTATGTGGTGCCGATGGCGACGTTGACGCCGATTGTGAGGCCGTTGAGAAGCAGGGCCCAGAGGACGTTTGGGAAGAAGAGGAGTTCGAAGGTTTGCTGGCTGCTGTTAGGGAGATGTAGAGACAGTTCTCTTTGCACATGTACTTACTCTTAGCACGTCCCAGGTTCCTGTCCACTGGGGCGTCCCGACCCACAGTCGCATGTCGGATGTCCATGTGCGCCGTGCGTATCTCTCGAAGTCTAAGGCGGGGCGGACGGTGCATACCTCGGCTCCTAGGTCCTTTTTGAGGTCGGGAGAGGTGCTTGTTGGGTCGGAGCTGGTTTCCTGGTAGGATGTGAGAGGGCGGTTGTATTTCGTCTCTGGTAGGAGGACAAGAGCAACTAAGAGCAGCGCTCCAGCAAGGCCGGCTCCAAGACCGTACCAGCCCTCTGGTGTGATGGACTGGGCGATTGGGCCTGCAAATAGTGTCCATACAGATGTTAGGGAAACTTGGATAGCTAGTTGTACCATGAGGGCCTCGCTGCGCTCATGGAGGAAGAAGATCTCCTGGGGGAAGCGAGTCAGGACGTTGGTCTAGAATGGTTGCGTGGATCACCTACCTGGGTAATCATTGGAATCAATGCTTCGCTCTGTCCGGCTGCTAAGCCAAGCACCATCCGAGCACCAAGATGCCATTCATATGTCTTCGCAGTTGCACATAGTACCGATCCAAGGACGAGCACGACAGTCGATACTAGGAGGACGATTCTCCTTCCCACACCAATTGCTATTGGCATACCGATGAGGTTCCCGATGCCCCTGGTTCGAAATCAGCTCTGCCCTCGATGTGGTACTTCATAACTAACATGAACAAGGTCGGATATGTCATTAAGTTGGAAATGTCATCATAGTCCTTTCCTACGGCTGTATATCCTGGAATGTAAAATTGCAGTAGTCCTCCGAACCCACTGACCAAAGCCAGACCCAGACACGAGACTGCAAACGATCAGGATGGCCAAGAAAATCGATTCCGGGGTGATCCATCACATACACATAGAGATGACGATAAGTATAATGGACTTCTGCCAAACAGACATATTCAAGGGATCTGTTCATCGTTATTCTTGATATCATTCTCGATAGCATAGTCGCTCACCTTGCGGGTCAGCGGTGGGAGTAGGTATATACACCACCGTCCCCTCCGTGATCTTCACAGTACCCATCACCTTCCCCTTAGCCCTCATAATCCCTCCCTCCTCGATGTCTTCCACGTAGACCACATCTTTCTTGGTGGTGTCGTCCATCGTAGAAGACCGGCGGATAGATAGTGGGTGTGTCCTGTTTACCCGCAGAGGGTGTGAGCGTTGGTAGTATATAGCATGGCGCAGCTGATCATATAAATATATTCGCCATACTGTCAGTTGGTGCCTTGTGACTGATACTAGACACAAGACAGGCAGATTATCTCGCCAGACCACTGCCACAACCGCGCCGAACCTTGACTGTGACGGGTATAGCTTCGAAGCCACCAAAGCTTCCCCGCATTCTGATAGCCAAGTCGTCACCAATGGCCTCGGGGAAGAGCTGGCTCGGGGCCTCACCGAGGTCTAGTGCTCCGAAACTTAGTACTGAAGACACTTCGGCGGGGTTAAGTCAATTAGTCGGGGCAAAAGCTAATATCAACGTGACGAGTCAAGCCTGGAACGTCTAACTTGATGTAGCAATTAGTATCTCTACTTGTGTATCGGATAACTTTGGTTACTTGAACAGTGTACAGGCTACAAGAAACATTATGGAGAATAAAGGACGTAAAATTGAACAACTATCTGACAGTCTGTATACAAATACGCAAAACTACCTAGTAATCCTTGACACCCGCGAGCTTGAGGACCGTATCGGTCAATTCGGGCTTCTCATAAGGCTCCGTACGATCCTTAGGGCACACCTTTCCATTCCTCATCGGCTTGTCGGTAGACGGGCGGATATTGCTGCGAAAATTAGCATGTATATCAATACAGGCGGCAAAGGATTACATACCAGTGAGGCCAGTGGGTAGTACCCATGTAATTCTCAAAACAATATTTCTTCAGCTCCAAGGCCTTTTCGGTCGCAAAGCGTCTCGGCGTCATGCAGACATATTGGACGTGGCGGATTTGGTCCCCTTCGGGCAGACAAGCATAGTGCATGGTCCGAGAATCCCAGAGAACCAAGTCACCGGGGTCCATATTAACCTTGATAAGTTTGCAACCGCGGTCCTCGAACCACTTGAGGTCCCTTTGGTGGAAAAGGAACAGGTCCATGTACTTGATCTCCGGTGGCGGAGCATCTTCGTGGTCGTAGGGGTCACGGTCCTGCGCAAAGAACTCATCGAAGAGTTTGGCAGAGCCCTTCATGAGCATAAGGCCGCCGTCTTTGGGGCCGTTGGGGGCAAAGTTGACAAGGCCCTGCACTGCTTGCATCCTGTAACAACATTAGCCCCCTGCTGTTTAGCTCAACCACTATGGTAACTTACCCCTTCCGGTTCGGGTTCTGGTCACAGTGTGGCCAAGGACTCCAGTTGACATCCTTCCGGCGGGGGAGGGAGATGTTCATGCCGTCGAAAGAACTAAGAAGCTCCTTTGTTTCCCAGAGCTTCTCAAAGATCTCAATGACGGCTGGCTCTGTGCGAGCTTCCCAGGCTATCTTCTCATGGGGTGCTGCGTAGCCATAGTACATGCTGATCCTCTGTTAGTGGTAGCTAGCCCTCGGGAATAAAGGAACTTACCCTCCCTTGAAGCTAATAGGAAGATGCTCAGTAGTCCAGGTACTCTCATCATTCTCATCAAATCCAAGGTCGAAGCTCTTCAGCCACTCGATCTGCTTGTCGCAGTAGTACTTGGCCCGTTCGGGACTAATCACGTTCTTGATAACGACGCAGCCGTTTTTGTGAAACTCATCGCGCCAATCGCCGTAGTGACGGTCGCTGAAGTCAATCAGGTCCTTCACTGTGTAGGACTCGTTGGTCGCTTCGGCGATCTCCTGAATGACAGTGGTTGTTGACATAGTGCTTTCTTCGATCAATACTCAACTTGCTCAATGATTAGCATTGAATACTTGTCTTTCCGCTGAGTCTTCGAGTGGGTGTTCAAAATTCACTTAAACATCCAGCAGCCTCAAGCTCCGAAGGGCTAACATCGTGCCCCGAAGCTCGGGGCCTTCATCAGTCTCGAGCAATGCGGGGACTCCCGAGCACCAAGCCCTTGGCTTCGGGGGAGATGCTCACTTCGGGGCTCTCCGAGCTTCGGTCACTAAAGCCCCGAGACATGTGCAATATAGACGCCAGAATGCGGGGAAGATGATGCTGGATAGACAACTTAAATGTGAAGAAATTGCAGTATGATGTGATTTGCTAGAATCTGTGAAAGCTTCCAAAGCAGTACACTGACATCACGTGCTACATTCAAAATGCCTCCTCCGGTCCAAGTCGCTTACAAGCGTATCAAAGCCCCGAAAGAGGGCGAAAACGGCTACGTGCGACCTCAATCAGGCAAATCAGAGGTCCTACCTGCGGGATGGAATGGTTTCAATGCTAAGCCCATACAGAGCGATATCCGCATCGACCACGACGTCGAGATCGTTGTCCGTGATGGCACAAGGCTATACGTCGACATTTACCGACCAGCTGGCTCTGCGGAGAAGATTCCCGCCGTACTGAGCTGGTCCTTCTACGGCAAAAAGTATAGTGCACTCGACATGCTCCCCATGTGCGTGTGGAACTGCTGCGTGCCGCGCTCTGACTTGAGCGGTTTCGAGAAATTTGAGGGCCTCGATCCGGCGACATGGTGTCCGCGCGGGTATGCAATTGTCAGTGTTGACACGCGCGGAGCAGGAAATAGTGACGGCCTTATCACCGTTATGGGCTCTCAAGATGCGGAGGACGGATACGACGTCGTTCAAGCTATTGCAAAGATGGACTGGTGCAATGGTTCCATCGGCATGGCGGGGAACTCGGCCCTCGCCATCTCTCAGTGGTTCATTGCTTCTCAGCAGCCGCCGTCACTCAAGGCTATTGCACCATGGGAAGGGTCGGGAGATATCTATCGTGAACAGTTCTGTCGCGGTGGGTGGTTCTCGATGAGCAACTTCGATCTCATCACAAACGAAATTGTTCGTGGACCGGCCAACTCCGGCATTGAGGATTTCGAGGAGATGTACCGCCGCTCGCCTGTTTCTAGCCCTTTCTGGGAGGATAAGCGGGCAGATATGACCAAAGTGCTTTGTCCAGTCTACATTCGAGGCTCGGATGTGAGCTCTATTCACACTATGGGTTCCGTTCGAGCCTGGCTAGAGCTTCCACATGATAAAAAGTGGATTCGCTGGGGAAGCAAACAGGAGTGGTACGAGCTGTATAGCTGCCCGGAGTCCATGGATGAGCTCTTCGTTTTCTTTGATCGCTATCTCAAGGGAGTTGAGAATGACTGGGAGAAAACCCCCAAGGTGCGTTGGTCTGCGCTGCAGTTCGGGGATCGAGAGGCCATCGACGACATCGTGCTCGAGGACTTCCCATCGCCTACCACTGAATATCGAGAATTCTTCCTCTCTTCGGAGAAGCTCCACCCAACTTTGATTGGGCCTTACGAAAAGATCTCCTACGACTCGGAGCTTACATCCAGCTTCGCCGAGTTCTCATACACCTTCGACAAACCAGCAAGACTAATTGGTCTACCGAAGGCGGTCTTGTACATGTCTTGCGAAGATCGAAACGACTTCACTGTTTTCGTCATCTTAAGAAAGAAGGATAAGAACGGGAAACCATTGATGCATCTCAATTTCCCATTCCATGCGACGCCGGTCAAATCAATTGATGAGATATCTGAGAAGGAACAGTCTAGCACGAACCTTCATTTGGGATCTAATGGTATTCTTAGAGCTTCGCATCGTGCGATCGATGCAAATAAAAGCATTCACCCACAGTTCCCTTTCCACCCTCACACGCGTCAGGAGAAGGTCCGTCCTGGAGAGATTGTGCGACTTGAGATTGGCATTTGGGCGATGGGCGTGGATTTTGACGCTGGTGAGACGATCAGCGTGCGGGTGAGTTACCATTAGTCTGCCAAATTATAGAAAGACGTATATATGCTAACAGTGAGGAAGGTCTCTGGCCAATACCCTAGTATTGCGGAGTATAAGACTTGGTCACAGCCGCGTCCGGAGGAGGAACTTAATCGTGGGAAGCATTTCATTCACTGCGGTGGAGAGTATCCTAGTTCTGTTATCTTGCCGTTCATTTAGCGGGCTTATGGATCATGACTGTGGCTATAGAGGTATGAGAATGTCACGAGCCATCTTTTCAGGAAGTTTTCGGTATTATCCCAGCCTCGCCGACCTCATATTGATGTAGAAAACCGGAGTTCTCTGCTAGTCTTTTCAATATGTCCTCTATTGTATTTGCATAATTGATGATAACCTATGGACAAAATTCTGCACATCATCGATACTAACACTTCCAATTCCCGGTTCTTCCATGACTTTATATCCGCTCAAAAGATATCAATATAGATGAAAGAAAGGTCCGATAGCGGGATACTTTCGAGCTCTACTCGATGTCAGTACGGCAATAACTTCTCGGTCCTAAGGAGCCTTCACCTCTCATGCATGATGATTCCCCGACGATTCATTTTTCTCGATTTTGAATATGGCACGTGGAAGGGTACACACACCCCCACGGTCAGGTAGCCCAACATAGCCAGCTTTGTGAGTGCTATCATGCTTGCTGCGTATACAGGATATATGGTAGTAGTAAGCTGTCTTCATCTCTCAAATCAATCTTTATATATCTCTGCTACAGATTCGGGATTCATGAAGGAGGCTCATGTGGTAAGACAGGTAGTTATTCTGGCGCGTGTACTATAACACGAGTCGGAAGTTACCTCTGAATGATTAAGCTGATTAGCACAATTCAACCGTATGAGTGCCAAGTTACATTATAATCTGCATGCTTGTATTTAGAGAACTCGGTCGGAACCTTCCTTGACAGTCGACCGCTTGGATGCTACCAAATATTAATACACTCTGCGCCGATTGGGCCCGAGGGACTCCGCAAGGCGACTCGTTGACTGCCAAGGTCATATTAGTGGTCACGGGTTCAATCACGGAAATACTAAACGGGATTTGGAAAAGTATTGCAGCAGATAGAAATGAGGGCAAACTGCCGAAGGAAGTGTGAGGTGTCCATTATCAGGCTGAAATTCTAATAAACGGACACTCCAAGGTCATTCTCGTCTATACATTCTTCTCAATTCCTCAAGCCAAATACCTAGCCTCATGAATCAAGGAAATCGTCACAGGTAAAGCCCTTCGGAATATTACATCGCCCGTGGCCACGGTGCCACTGGTTCGGCATCACTTTACTATGAAGTAATTGGCCAGTATACGTGTACTGGTCATCCCCGGCACAGTAGCGCTTATGATGAAATGTTGGGACACATATCTCTCCGTCGCCTGGCTAGAACCACGCGATATATCGTTTTTGGTCTAGCGGTTAGTGCTTCGACAGGTTATGAGCCCGGTCAGCTCTTACCAACACGTGATGCCTTAACCAGATCTGGAAGTTGCGGGTTCGAGACCAGGCGTGGTCAACCTGGCTTTTCCCATGCAGTCTATCCAGTTCAAGGAGGTGCCTAAACCAGAACGTGGAGCTATGATAGCTCCGGTTCGAGGGGGCCGTGTTGGGACACATATCTCTCCGTCGCCTGGCTAGAACCACGCGATATATCGTTTTTGGTCTAGCGGTTAGTGCTTCGACATGAAATAACGCAATATAAGATACTCGAAGGAATATGAGAATACATACGCCAGTGGTAGTCACTGGTTCGATTCCATGTCGTCGAATGCATAAAAGTAACGCATACCGAGCAGAAGATCGGAAATCACTCACTGTTAGATGGCCGATTGCATACTGCGCAGAAGGATCCGTCGCAGTCTCCGAACATTACTTTCAAAACAATGCCTTATCTATCATCCCCCTCCCTGAGTTGAGCTGATAAAACTTCAGGCAGCGGAGATGCACCCCCCTCCTGCTCTCTGATGGCGAGATGCCGACGGAGTGATCAGTAATCCTGATTTGTAACCAGCAACACCAGAATAACAGCGGGGATGAGGTAAAGTAATCCAACATCGGTTCCTGACGTGCAATATCACCTAGCTTATCCTAGTTAAACGCGAGAAATATAAACTAAGGATAAACCATTGACAGAGGTAGTGCGGATAAATCACACAGAATACCTTGAACAACATATTATCCTATCTGTTTCCGAACCCACCACCTAAAATGTCCCTCCCAAGCACCTTTCAACCGATCATAATAATGGACAAAGATCTCCCAATGGCTCAAAAGCGCCGCAACATTTACATCCGCCCGTTCATCCTCTTCTACCTCAACTCTCTCATCGCAGAAATCATCTTCCTCGCCGTCGGCGTCTTCATTATGACCGGCACTCGCGACCTCTTCTACAAAGTCATGTGGACGCTCGTCTTCTGTCCACTCGGTATGGGCGGTGCTATGGGGGCACTGACCAATTGCTTTATTGTCGATCACTATTATGGAAAGAAGGCGGCTCAATTTACGGGTATTTTGTCGTTGTTGGTTTTGAGCACTTGTAACTATCTCTGCTACAATTTGGACAGGCATTTTGGGTGGTTCGGGGCCAATGAGCATCCGATGTGGTTTCATTGGCGGTATCCGATGATTAGGGTTGTTGGGTACTGGAATGGACTGCTTTTGTTTACGGATAAGGGACAGGAGAGACTTGCTAGGTTGGGGTTGTAGGGTATTATGATATCCTAGCTGAAACATTGATCATTGGTCATGATGAATGCCACAACTGCACCTCTCATATGGTAGATTTCAATGATTCTCGCGAGGGAACAGGGCCGTGGCTTCGAGAATTGGCTATGTGAGTGGCTGGGAATACAGTGATATACAGCATGACAATAGAATACCAACACAAGTAGTTCTTATAGTACTTACAAGAAGATTTTATTGTAGGAGAGCCATGGTCTAATGTATCTGTCTAATTGGCCGGAAAACGGCTCACTGACTTTCGGGGTTTCTAACCCGAGGCCTTGGCGAGGTTCTCCAGTCGAAAGCCTGGAGCTGGGGATGACCATAAATTTTGATGTTCTGTGATGTAAGGTTTTTGGCTGAAGTCTTCATATACTCCTCGCTGTGATGACAGAGTTGGAGAGAATCAATATGCCGGAAGGCCAACTTTCATGAAATTCGCAGGATCAATTCCGGCCGGACCTTGAATCCCGACAATGCGGGGATCCGGGTTTCCCTATAAATGATCGATTCCATCCCATCATTATCTGCCGAGACATGTTATTATCCTCCCTGACTATACTCAATAGAATACATAATGCTATTGAATAAACAAGCAATTGGCACCCTCTCCTTGGGCCAGCATCCCTCTCACACACTGGACCAAAAGATCCGTGTTGCCTCCCAGCATGGCTTTACCGCTGTTGAAGTCGTTTACTCTGACCTCAAGAGGTACTCAGACGCCCTAGGTGTATCAATGCTAGATGCTGCCGGAAAAATAAAAAAGGTCTGCGGCAACCTCAACGTTGAAATCTTATCGTTGGCGGCATTCGAGAACTTTGAAGGAAATTGCACGCCATTGGATGAGCGAATGGCCACCGCAAAGCACTGGATCGACATTGCGCGCAAGCTGGATGCTACATATCTGCAAGTGCCATCCAACTACAGCCATGATGCCAGCACAGACAAGAACCTCATTGTGTCGGATTTGCAGCAATTAGCAGATTTGGCTAGCGCTGAGGAACCCGTTATCTCGGTCGCGTACGAGCCACTCTCCTGGGGTACATACTGTTCGACCTGGGACACAGCCCTGGAGCTTGTCGAGGCCGTTGACCGGAAGAACTTTGGTCTGTGCATGGACACTTTCCACGAAGTCACCAAGCTTTGGGCGAGCCCGTTCGAGACGTCCGGAAAGTACCCGATAGCTGATAAGGACTTGACTGCCTCCCTTGAACGCTTTCTGAAGCAATGCCCTCTGGAGAAGATCTTTTACGTCCAACTGTCGGACGGCGAGCTCTTCAACCCACCTTTCTCAAAGGCACATCCGTGGTATCTTGAGGGTGAAGCACCGCAATTCACCTGGTCTAGACATGCTAGGCCATTCCCTTTCGAAACTAAGCTAGGTGGATATATGCCAGTACTAGAAATTGTCAAGGCATGGGTAGTTGACAAGGGGTACACGGGTTGGATCTCGATGGAGGTATTTGACAGACGGATGCGCAGCGAGGAGTTCAATCCCGAGAATGCCGGCAAAAGAGCAAGAAAGTCATGGGAAACACTACAAGACCGCCTCCGATCCCCCACTCCTTCTAAGATATAACCTTCAAATAAGGTCTTGCACAATTCAGCTCTTTAAATAGTCCGTTCCTGAACCAGCAATAAAACTGCCGTGAAACACTTCAATACCCGAGGCCCAGACCCTGCCGTAGTCCCCAACAGGCAATTACCCCCGAAACCTAGATACACGTGACTCGCCCGATGGTTTGCCATCGGCGAACCATTCCAACGTCCCCAATCCCATCATCCCCTAACTAATGCACATCTGAACCGCCTGTTCCCTTATTCAAGTCTCTTTTTAGTCTTTACATCCTCTTATTAGATCCAAATGGCGTCCGACATCCCCAGGCCACCAACACTCCGCCGGTCATGCCAAGCCTGCGCGCGCGGCAAACGCCGCTGTGACCAGCGCTGGCCGCGCTGCACCCGATGCCAGACCCGGAAGATCGACTGCGAATACATCAACATTCCATTAACGGTGGGATCCGACACAGACTCAACAAGTACCGCAACAACAACAAACACCATCCGATCAACACTCTCGCCCAAACTCCCTCACAAGAAGCCAAGACAGCACTACCAACTAACCCACTCAATCCCCCTCCCCCTCCCCCTAGAAATTACAAAGGGCTACCCCCAACCCATCATCGCATACCTCGTCTCAGGCATGCGCGCATACCCATCCACCTTCGCCCTGAACATGAAAACCCACTTCATCCACCCAGACCTATGGCCCAGTCCATCTTCTCCCCCTTTACCTATCAAGGACATTCACACCCTGTGTAAACTGCACTCCACATCACCCACCACCACAAACAAAACCATCATCCCCCTCCTCAAACAAAAATCCTCCTCCCTCCTCCGCACCCTCAACCACACCTCCAGCTTCGAGGAAATGCTAGCTACCGCGCAGGCTCTCCTCCTCGCGCAATGCATGCTCATTCTCTCGGACCCCGACACAAACACATCATCACAAGCCTACTCCGAATCAATCAGCACTATGCTCTACAACCTCGGCCAGAAACTGTGGCAACAGGCCCCCATCCAATTACCAGGGAGTTTGAGCCCGCGCAGAGCGTGGCTATTCGCGGAGAGTGTGCGGAGGACGATCATTGTGGGGTTCATGCTAAGGAGCGTGTACTCGCTCAAGATGCGGAATTATTCCGTCCGAACGCCGTTCGTGGACTCGTTGCCGTTTGATATGAGGACTGGGTTGTGGGATCGCGATGTTGGGGTTGATGGGAATGAGGGTGGAGAGTCGCTGGATGCGATGGTCTCGTTGCATCAGTATTCGGGCATGTTGGAGAGTGGTGTGGTTCATGGGATCTCGGAATTTGGGGGGTTGATTCTGGCGGCGTGTAGAGGGAGGGCGGTGCAGGGATTGCCCTATCCTTCTGTTACTGCGTATGCGGGGTACTAATTTATTGAACCATTTCCATGGTGTCTACTTTTTTTCACTTTACTTGTGACTAAACGGGTAAGTTGAAATCTTAAGTCTTCAAATCGTCTATCTAACAACAAACTCTAGAAAATGACAAGTATAATCACACCAAAAACTGCTTCAACACCGCATTCAACATCGCCGTCATATCCGCATATAAGCTCTGCCTCTTCGTCTCAAACGCCTGATAGATATCATTCGCCGATCCCACAGCAATCTGATCCTCACCATTCTGCAACCGGCTCCAAACCTCACCGATAAACTCATTCAACGGCATACCAATCAAGTGTCCATCCTTCAAATCAGGCTGGTGCTTGGCATCGTGCAGCTCGGTCTGCACCGCGGGCGGGTAGATCTCGAGCACCTTGACGTTTCCGGGACCCTCAGCGACCTGCGTCCGCAGGGCAAGGATGAAGTGGTGCAGGGCGGCCTTGGAGGCGCCGTAGTTGGGGCAGCGCATCATGGGCACGAGGGCCATTTGGGAGGTGGTGTAGGCGAGGGCGGTCTGGGTGGGGAGGGATTGCAGGTGGGGAAGGAAGGCTTTGGTGAGGTAGACGGGGGCAGTGTAGTTGGTGATGAGCTCGGTGTCGAAGGTGGTGAGGTCGACGGCGTTGGGGTTGGAGAAGTCGAAGGGGCGCTGGATGCCGGAGTTGACGAAGATGCAGTCCAGGTCGGGGTGGGCCGTTGTGATCTCGGCAGCGAATTGGGGGATCTATATAGTGGTTAACTTGTGAGTAGATTGCGGGAGTGGGTGTGGGTGTAAATGAGGGGGACGTACCTGGTCCAGCTGCATCACGTCAAAGACCTTCGATGCGACCTTGTCACTGCCATATTGCTGGACGAACTCGTCTAGGTTCTCCTTTCTTCTGCCGGCGATGACGATCTGGGTGCCGTTCTCGACAAGCTTCACGGCGAGGGCCTTCCCGATGCCGGATGTGGCGCCGATGATGAGGACTTTTTTGTAGGGGAACGACATGTTGATTGATTGTGTGTATATATGAACAAGGGTATATGAGTATTATACAGGTAGATGATTCAAAATTGAGCATGAAAAAGAGGCAGACTGGCAGCTATTTATCTTGTATGCATGAAGCTGAATGACGTCCCACCCGCGGAGACTAAGCCCGATACGATCCCACTCTTGGCGAGACACCCTCGCGGAGACTAGGCCGCATTAGGAAATCCATCTGGATTTTCGCTTCTTTTTCGCGACAACCCTGGGATCATCCCCAGGACTTGAAGGCGAGAGAAGCATCCGGAATCACCGGATTTGTAAGAAAGATTTTATTAAACACCGAGCGACATACCGTGGCTTGTCTGATTGATGTTGAGGGATATTTGTCACGTTCGCCCAGCGGACTCTAAGCAGGCATTTGGGTTATCTTTTCGCAAGGTAGGTCTCAGCTGCGTAGATACCTCCGATAAAGCGCATGCGCGCTAACGGCTTGCATTAGCCCCTGAAGATCGGCGTCCGTTGTATCCCTCCTTATCGATGTAGTGACTCGGGCGTATGACAGTGTCAGGTGCACGGACCGGCAGCATGCATAGTCTCTAACAACTCGTCTCTCTCAACACTACTCTCAACTAGACTGCGAAAGACCCCATTCTGATTCGATACCAATTCCCGAGGTGTCCCATACTCAATGACTCGGCCGGCGTCCAGTACAAGCACGCGATCAAAGTCGACGATGGTGCTGATGCGATGCGCGATGACCAGTAACGATGAGTCGTTGTGCCCAAACTCAGTCCGGATGGATCTCTGAATCACTGCGTCTGTGACCTTGTCAATAGCTGAGGTGGCCTCGTCTAGAACTAGGACTTTGGGCCGGCGGAGGATGGCCCGCGCGAGGCAGAGACACTGTCTTTGGCCCTGGGAAAAGTTCGCGCCTCTTTCGGTGACTGCGGTGTTTAGAATACTTGGTGGGTGCTGGTATTGCAGTTCCAGAGAGTCAATGTGATCTTCTCTGGAATTGTCATCCTCATCGAGTTTTATCAACGGCGATCCAGGACGATTCTCGTCATGGTCAGCATCAGGAATAGTCCAGTGCACGCGTCGCAATGCAGACAAGAGCTCTTGGTCTGAGTGCTCATCAAAGGGATCGAGGTTGGAGCGAATCGTGCCAGAGAATAGGATCGGGTCTTGTGGTACGATTGCCAAGCGCGTCCGTAGCTGGCGAAGCGGAATGGTCGAAATGTCCAACCCCGCCACATGAATACTTCCTTGCTGGGCTTCCAGGAAGCGAAATAGGGCCATCGCCAGCGAGGACTTGCCTGCACCGGTACGACCGACCACTCCGACTCTGGTATTTGGCGGGATGGAAAAGGATAGATCAGACAGAACGGGTGGCAAATCAGGCGAATAACAGACGGTCAAGTCTGATACATCCACTTGGCCATCCGTGGGCCAGGACTCAGGCATCTCGTCGGTTGAGTTGTATTTCTCTGCAGGGATGTCGAGAGACCACGAGACACGTTCGACGCTGTTCAGAGATATCTCGAGGTTTGCGTATTGCCTGATCACTTGAGACATAACGCCACTATACCGCATGATGAATGTGATGGCAAATCCAGCAGTTGAAGCGGTAATGCCGTTGGAAGAGAGCACGAGTATAGAGGCTGCGGTGGTAAAAGCGGCGCCAATGGTGCTTGCGCGAACGGCGATCCAACGTGTAAGCAGCCAGAGACACCAGGATGCCCGGCAATGCCGGTCAATCTTGGCATACATTTCCTCCCGGTAGGTCTCCTCTTGACGGTAGGCACGAACGGTCATTATTCCATCCATGGTGGCACAAAGATGGTGAAGTACTGGGCTTCGCATGGTACTTTCTAGTTCCTTGATGGCGCGGATCTTCTTGATAAAAAATTGTCCGTAGTAAAACGCCAATAAGAGCGAACAGGCGGAGAGGAGATTCAGCCAGACATTCACCAGGGAGGCAGCCAACACGATGGAGAAGAGATCAAACACAACACCGAGTGCGTAGTTGAGATCATATGGAAGGCGCGAGTCGATCAAGCTAAAGTCGGCAGAAAAGTTGTTCAGAATGTTTCCAGCTGGTATCTGGTCGAGCCACTGCAAGGGGGCGCGTAGTACCGAAGAGAGGAACTTTTCAAAAAGTCTTCGTGACATCTTCAAGGTGATGCGCACTGCCAAGAAGCTCCGACTGATCGCGACGATGCATGAGCAGATCGACAACAATAGGTAGATAGATAAGAACCACGTAATATTCACCCCGGTGGACTGGGCTCCTTTTGTATCCATGTCTTCTGTGCTCCTGCTCTTGTTCGCGTTGTTACTCCAGATCATCATCCACAGACCTCGCCCAACTGCTAGTCCACCATAGCTCAGATGCAGGAACAAGACAAGCAAGCAAAGATACTTGGCGTCAGTCAAACGGAAAATCCGTTGACGATTTCGCCATTTTTGGTTTCGTGTATTGGCCTCGCCACGCAAATCATCTTGCCTTGCGGAGTCTTCTAGTTGCTCTTGCTCACTGGGTAATAGCGTTCCTATCCAGTTTTCCGAAGACTGAACATTCGATACCAGAGAGCCTTTCTTCATGTGAGAAGCCCTCTCCACTCCTGCTGCAGCCTGGGCCATATGCTTGAATATCCCCATATCCCTAAGGTTTTGTCTCGGGCCAGCATATTGCAGTCCGTTGGTGTCAAGAGCAACCACGTATTCGGCTCTTGGTAAGCACAGTTCTAGGTGGTAAGTTGCCAGTATGCGTGTGCGTCCCTCGGCGAGACACCCCGTCAGAGCATATTGATATAGATGCTGCGCCGTATGAGAATCAATGGAGCTGAAAATATCATCCAGTACAATTATCTCGGCGTCGGAATAGAGTGCGCGCGCAAGGGAGATACGCCATTTCTGGCCACCACTGAGATTGCTCCCTTGGTCGTCCATCGGAGATTCATCTTTCAGCACTAGACGATCTATGTCGCTATTAAGGGAGCAGGCGAAAAGAACACGCCGGTAGCGCTCCTGCTGCAACGGCAGGCCATAAAGGATGTTGTCCCTGATTGTCCCATCTTTCAAACACGGTTCCTGAGCAACGTAGGCAATCGCCAGGCTTGGGGACCGTCGTACACTGCCATGCAGGAACTCGCATTCACCAAGTATTGCTGCAAGAACGAGACTTTTGCCAGAGCCAGACGGCCCCGTAATGATACTCAAAGCGCCGTATGGGAATGTCAAAGACATGTCTTTAAGAGAAAAGCATTTAGTGTATTGATTTTCGTTCCAGCAAATCGTGGCCTGGTCCAGCACAACCCCATCAGCGGGCACAATATCGACATCCCTGTCTGGAGTTCGAAGGAAACGTTCGATTCGTCGCAGACTGATCTGTGCTCCCGTTGCATTCAACAGGATCTGGGGAAGAACTGCAAGGGGGGTTTCAAGTGCACCGAGGAGCGAGACCGAGGTGAAAGCGAGAGACGCCGGCATGTCGTCATGTAACAGGGCATATGTGCCTAAGCAAGCCGCGGAAACAGCAACGGGCGTGATATTATAGGCGACGAACATGAGAAGCTCCCACTTGAAAACTTGCCACTGGCTGTGCAGCTCCTTCCCTCTTGACTCGTTGATGCGGTCTTCCCATTTTTCCTCCAAAGCTGATAATTTGACTTGGCGGATACCTTGGAGAACCTCGTTGATGACTCCCATCCTGCTGTCGCGACACCTCAAAAGACCTTTTTGTTGCTTCGAAAACTGACTGACTGAATAAAAGTTTCCTGCAGATACAAGAAGAAGAACTAGGCCACCGACTAGTAGGCACTGCGGTCCAAGCAACCGGCCGATAGAGAGAGCAGCAATAATGAGCTTCAACGGCGCCTCGTAAAGATGAAAGCCGACAGCTGAAAAGTCAGCCACTTTCTTTGCATCCACTGCCACTAGGTTCATGGTACCCTGACGGGATGGGCTGGTGGTACTGGCACTCTGCGAATCCATTCCGACATTGTTCACTGCACGACAACGTAACGCTTTGTCATATATCACTGTTGATAGTTGTTCCTGCAGCCTCACTGCAATCAGATTTGACGATATATAGAGGTTCCAATTTTCGATAAGAGCAGATACGATAGTCGATGCGCCGAGCCCGAGAACAAATAGCCATAGCCAAGGATCATCAGGGTCGGTTTCCAGACGCTGCAAGATTCCCAAGATAAAAAACTGGGGCACAAATGCCATTGTCCCATTCAGGAAGGTCAAAACAAGTTGAATGAATAGCGCTTTCCGATGACTGAAAAAGAGGACCTTCCAAAGGCTTTTGCTGGAAGCCGTACATTGTTGGCTGAAAGCTTGAAATAGCTGAGGTGAACGACTATTGTACTCGAGCTCAGGCAGGTGGCTGATCTCCAGCTCATCTTTCTGACCCGCAGAAAGCAGCTGGCCTACCCATCCAAAGAACAATTGGTCCAAGAAGGTTGTCGATCCTTTGCGATCCACCACTGTTCCGTTTTGAAAAACGTCCGGTCGACGAGGCAACGACGCTCCGGCCATGCAGGCACCCAAAGCGGCGCAACACTGGCCAAGTAGAAAGAACCAGGGCAGAAAGGAGAAATCCAACGCCTCATAGCATTGGTACTGGTCCTCAACTAGAAGTACCATCATGGCGACGCAGCCGATGCTTGTTTGAAGACCGTGTCTGAACCGAAGCGTGCATTCGTCTTCCATCCAAACTGCAACTGTACTGAGGGCCAGAGTTCCCCAGGCCCCTAGTCGCATCCATCGTGTAAAATCACCGGTGGAAGCAGACACAACGCTAAACACGACAACTTCCGATAGCGATAGCCATACACCAATGCCGGTACCAATTGCAAGTGCGACGCGTGGGGGTTTGTCGAAAAATTCCTTAATTGATTGTGGTGTTGCAATTCCATCGCAGTCTTCATACCCATCCATTTGAATCATTGTGTCGAGGGTTAATTGTCGATGTCGCAATCGATTCACGATGGCGATAAAGGCCCTCCCTCCCACCAAGGCCGCCACACCGAATCCGAAAATGTTGGCCGCGAGGGGGAGCCCCTCGCTTGCCGTCTGAGAAGACATTTTGCTGAGTGACTACCGAGAAGAACTCGGTAGCAGATTCCCGAGCGAGCATCGTTGAAGAATCGAAGATTAGACGCCCGAGCGTCTCTCGTGCGGTGATGGCAGGCTGCAGGATTAATATAGGATGGCCGACTCGTGGTTGTCGCGTCGGCGGAAGCGCTATAGTGGATCTAAAGTCGGAGGTCGGGTTTGATTTGGCTGCCCGGCTGACGTACCACTCGGCGCAATCTCTCCACTTTGGCTATGGTCGTGCCTGTGGTTGGTGCAGGCAAACCAGGCTTGTCTTCAAAGTTTTATCTGATTTGGGGGCATTTTGCGATTGCTACTAGGGCTGAGGCTAGTTCTGCATGTGGCAAGTGTGAGTTCAAAGTTAGGTAGTGGGGGCTACCATTGTGATTTGCTGGATGTGGAGAGAGCAGGCAATGACGACGACATGCCAGGCATCCAGAATATCATGCACCAATATATCTCAACATCAAAGATAACACGAAATCTTTGTGATTGAGCAGGAAACTGTAAGGAGGGCTATTTACTGATCGGCGATAAAATCCAGAAGCGCCAAGCCCGAAGAACCGAGCATCGGCCTTCGGTACTCGAACGGGCAAAGTACCACAAAGATTGAATTGTTGCACAGGGATGCATGTTACTGGAGAACACGAGGCTACTATGCAAACCCTATCCATGTTTTTCCCCTTCGAGCAAATAAATAATGTAATGTCCGTGCTGAAGCTCGTATCTAGAATCTCCATGATCCGGGGTCGACTCGCCCAACCGGGTCCCCGGAAAGTGTGATCCGTGCCGGATACGGATGAACCCGAGCGTTAATCGCATAAGCATCCTGTTCGGATTACCAATGTTGATTGGATGAAGTTGCAAAAAAACTGACGATGGAATCCCTCGTTTGCAAGTATAAGAAGAATGAATCTGTCCATAACCATGGTGTAGTCGCCACCCTTATACTCCAGAGTCCGTCATTTCACTGTAACTTCCACTTCATTTAACCTTAACAAAATGGTAATCCTGGCCGATATCCAATCCTCCAATGTCCAGATTGCTACCTCCCTTCCCGAGGGAATGGTAGCTCTCTTCGTCGGAGCAACAAGTGGGATTGGCGAAGCAACCCTCAAGCAGTTCGCTAAGCATGCTGCACGGCCCCATGTCTATTTTGTCGGTCGCAAACAAGAAGCAGCCAACCGCATCATCGCCGAATGCGAAACCCTGAACCCCGAGGGGAAGTATATCTTCATATCTGCAGACGTTAGCTTGCTCTGCAATGTCGATGAGGTTTGCCGCCACATCAAGGACAAGGAGCGAGTTCTCAATCTCCTCGTTCTCACACCTGGCATAGCGACTATACACAACGGTGGGTGATCGCCGGTTCGGATATATATCTCTTGCCGCACCATGACTAGAACTACGTAATGTTACAAAATAACTACGACTGATTTCTATCATACTGCAGAAACACCCGAAGGACTCCGCAAGATCACATCCCTCCTCTACTTCGCCCGCATGCGTTTCATTGTAAACCTCCTCCCTCTCCTCCAACAAGCCACCAGCCTCCGCCGCGTCATAACCGTCGGGGCAGCCGGATCTGAAGGTCCCATTGACACCGCCGACTTCGAGGGCAGAAAGCTGTCAGCCCCATTGTTCCGCGGGCATATTACTTCACTGACCACAGTGGCTTTGGAAACTCTAGCTGAAAAGGCCCCAACCGTGTCGTTCATTAATACTCACCCTGGAGCTGTCCAGACCGGGATAATTCGAGAGGTGGATAATCTCCGTATGTGGATTGTGTGGCTTGCTCTTCTGCTTTTCGGCCGTTGGATCTGTATTCCTGCCATAGAGAGCGGAGAGAGACATCTCTTTGTGACTACAAGTGCGAAGTATCCGGCGCGAGATGGGGATGATGGGGTGCCGCTGTCGGAGGGGGTCGCGGTTGCGCGGGGCGTTGATGGGGAGGTGGGAGAGGGTGTTTATTCCATCACTTCAGATGGGGAGAGCTCGGATAATGCGATTGAGGTTCTGAAAGGCCTGCGAGAGATGGGCATTGGAGAGATTGTCTGGAGGTATACGGAGAGTCAGTTTAAGCGGATCACGGGGGTGAATGCCGTATAGTGTAAGCTGGGTTGCGTCGGAAATGTAGCAGAGATTGGCTTTATATCATTCCCGAACTGTTAGTGAAGATAACAGTTCCAATGGCATGAATTGTCCAATGGCATGAATTGATGACTTCAAAATGAAGTTATTGACGGTAGCCAAAAGAGTGTATCTTCAAATCACGTGCAGAGTCTCGATCAGGCAGGACCACGTGATGACGTCATGTGTGTCACTTGCCGGATCAGGCAATTCCGCTCTTTCTCTGTTGTCAACTTTATTCTGCATCTTATTCTACATCTCCCATACTGGCTTCACTTCTCACTCCTTTCAAAGAAGGCTATAATGTAGAGACAGGTCGCAGCTGGTGGCACCTGTATCGACCCAATGACGTCTGCAGGCACAATTTTCCACGCCGACCTAGCTGAACCACGGCCATAGCCTCCTCTTAGCACATGGTCTCACCATACTCCCCTGGAAGTGTCGGCCTCGAACCCGGCTTATCAGAGGTTGATTTGGTCACTCGCGGCTCATTTTCAACCTATTTACTCAGTACAACAAAGGCTGTTGGGCCAGCATGTCACGGGTGGGCCCGAAGCCGCCGATCAAACGCCGCCATCGGTGACTGGAAGAGATCGTGCAAGGAACGGATCCGTTTCCACCCATCCAGGTCGCACAGCGTGAGGTTATGCAACCCGCCAATTAGAATCGGAGGAGGGCTGCGTTGCCCGTGAGGACCTGCCACTTCTTTATGCCTTTGGCAGAGCACCACCTTCATAAGTTTCACGCAAGTCTGTGGGGCGGGCAACAAGTTACTCTATTCTCTGCCATGGCATGGTGGTTGACTGGATGGCAATCATCCCGGTTCTGGCGTCTCACTAACAAGGCGGTCTTTCAATGATCGTCTCAATGTGGCTGACTCTTGCTGGTATCAGTCTCGGTAGAATAATTCTCACCTACTCTACGGAACCCGGCTAGATCTATCAGCAGGAACTATGGATGAAACGTGCAAAATCTACCAACTAGGCTACTTAGGTGTGGCGTGGAAAATTTGAGGGTTTGGGTGTGAAGCCACCAATGGTTGTAGTCGGCTGTTCCCTGGTCTGCTTCTGTGACGCAATCTTGGCGCACCGTACAATATTTCCCCAACGAGACACCTTAAATATAAGATAGTTCTTTTTTTTTCTACAGCAGGCTCATAAACTGCAATTGTACAATTTTCCGACTGCACACCTTAATTACCTACTGCCATGGTGCACCCAATTAAGTCTCTCAACAAGGAACTCGATCGTAAGTGTAAAATGTTTTCAGACAGACTATCCCGCTAACAGCTCGTAGAGGTCGACACCGAGTCGAAAGACTATCGATCTTCCGACTCAACGGAGGGAGAATCCTCCAAAGCAGACCAAGATGAAGAGTCTCCCCATAGGGAGCCCAGAAAGGGCGTCTCGCGAAACAAAAGCCAAGGAACCCAGAATACCAATGTTTCGCGAAAGAAAAGTCATGCTAGTCACCGCACTGGCGTATCCCAAAACCAGAGTTATCGGAGTCAACCTCCCGCTACCCTGAGAAACCAGAGCTATGGGAGTCAGGCACAATTCTCCTTAGCAGGTCCGAATGCGTATTACGGACCACTCCCTCACCAGGGCGCATACATGCATCCGGAGTATCAGTCTTACAATCCTCAGTATGGAAACACGCAAGGGGACAAGCCTGTGTGGAGTTTAGCGCAGCCGCTGCCTCATGTTGTCCGAGACGGAATGCGGTATGGAGCCTTGCCAGAGGATCGAAAGGAAGAAAGAGAAGAAGGGGGACGAGAACGCCCGCCTCCAGCGGCAGAAGAGCCTCCTACGGATATTCCGCAGACGGAGGAAGCTAGACAGAATGGTGAGGAGCCGCAGAATGAGATGGGATTCTTCAACAAGTGGTCCAAAATCCGGTATTATCTGAGAGAGCCATTAGGCGAATGGTTGGGGGTGAGTGCTTACCTAGACCATCTCCCTAAATTAAGCAACTAACACAATTAACAGACAACCTTAGCCATCACTCTCGGTCTCTGCGGCGGGTTAGCAACGTACACATCGGACCAACAAGCCGGCTCATGGATGAGCCAAGCCGCGTGCTGGGGCTTCAGCTTCATGATCGGCATCTACATCGTCGGTGGCATCTCCGGTGGTCACCTCAACCCTGCAATCACAATCTCCATGTCCGTGTGGCGAGGATTTCCCGCCCGCCGATGCATAATCTACATCTTTGCCCAGCTGATCGGTGCCATCACCGCCGGCGGTATTGCCTACGCCATTTACCACGACGCCATCGTCAACCTCTCCGTTGAGAGCAACTTACCACAAAGCGAAACAACAGCCAGCCAAGCATTTCTCACTCTACCAAAACAATTTGTCAGTCCAGCTACTGCATTTTTCAACGAGTTCTTAGGTACCGCCATCCTCGTCGGAACCATCATGGCCCTGGGAGACGACACCAACGCTCCCCCCGGAGCGGGTATGCAAGCATTCATCATCGGCATCATCATCACCGTTCTAGTCCTAGCATTAGGCTACAACACAGGCGGGTACGTACACCCTTCATCACCCCACCCTATAACACAGCAACTAACAAACACCCAGAGCATTCAACGGTCCCCGCGACTTCGGCCCCCGTCTCGTCGCCGTAATGGCCGGCTGGGGCGGACATCTCTTCAAAGAGTACCACGCCTGGTGGATCTGGGGCCCCTGGGTCGCCGACATCTTCGGAGGATTATTCGGCGCGTTCATCTACGACTTAGTGGTGTTCACCGGCGGCGAAAGCCCGATCAATTACCCACCGAGAAGACGTAAGCGTGCTCTGCTGATCAAGGAGAAGAACTTGCGGACTAAGTTGCGCCTTGGGAGGCGGAAGATCGGGGATATCGAGAGGGCGGTGGAGGAGAATCAGGATTGATGTTAGTTCTGGATATCTGGGAAGGAAGGACTTGTTTGTGTATTATGGTGTGGTTTGCATGCAGTATACGGTAGCGTCGCATTAGCCTGGAGTTTCTTTTGTTTCGTTTCGTATTTGGAGTTTAATAGGAAAATGTCTTTCTTCAATGTGTTTGATGTTGGGGATAGCGTTTATCGTCATCTTAATCATACCTAAGTACTAGTAGTAATAAGAATAGGATTTTTCGCACCTCTAGATAACCCTATCCCAGTACCGCAGGCAATGAATGCCAGACCAGCAATATCTGAGGCCAGCTGAATCATGCACTTTAACGACATTATTCATCATCGACCAAATGAGCATAGCAAAAAGGGGGATCTGAACTACCTCTACAACGCATAATCTAAAAGGTTCTCACTACCTCGTTATCTACAAAATCCAGTCAGTAGGAACGGTGATGGCTCATGGACATAATTATTGAAGCCGGATTAACCGACTACGGTTTGATATGTATCAAAAAAGGCATGAGCAAGCAACGTGTATTTATTTATTTTATCTTTTACGATTCTAAAGCAAGAGTACCTAAGCAAAGTACCACAGTCTCACAGTACCATCGTGCCCATCTCACGACGCGGCGCCGGCGGCAGCAGCAGCAGCAGTTCCGCGAGCCTGAATCACTTCCAAAAACTCCAAAAACCCCACGCTCCTAGCCTCCTCGATAGCCGTCCTGGGTTCCTGTGTACCAACCGTAGCCCTAACATTTGGGTCGACGCCTTTATCCAAGAACAGATGCAGAAGCTCGCCAAGTCGCTGTTTGCGGGTTTCGAACGCCTGGGGATTTTTCAAATCCTCCTTATCTGCTTTGGCATCCTTATAAGTATGCACCAGTGCATGAATAGGCGTGCCCAGGCCTGTAACCTGTTTCGGATCAGCACGGTGGTCCATCAGGGCCTGAACTAGTTTGATATCGACTACGCGGGCAGCGTAATATAGGGGAGTGACCATGCGAGAGGTTTGCTTTGAGAGGTCGATGTCGGGACTTGCGAGGAGTTCATTCACGGCTTGTTCATTGCGGTAGTGCATGGCGACAAGGAGAGGGGTTGAGTCCGCGACTATGGTGCTGCTCTCGGAGTTGATGTAAGAGGATAGATTAGGAACTCGGGGCGAGCGACGCCTCCCGGGCCGGACGAGGCGTTGCAGAACTTCGGTATAATGGTTGGCAACGGCGGAGTGGATCAGGGAGATGGGAGGGTTGCGTGGGGCGAAGATGGCGTTTCTGAAGTATGGGTCGCGCAGTGTTTTCGTGATGTTAGCCCACTTCTGCGAGCAGAAGAGCCGGTTTACCTCCTCGGTTCGCATGACGTGAGGGGGCGTCTCGTAGCTGAGGATGGTCCTAAGGATGTTGTACTCGCGTTTCCACACGCATAGAGCAATCGGAGTGAAGCCGTTGCCATATCTAGTGTCCGTAGTCACGCGAGCGAAAGGGTCGAGGCCGTACTTTTCCTTGAATTCAGGGTTCAGGAGGTATTGGGTGACTTTGTTGTGCCGGAGTAGGATGGCCGCACCCAGCACGGTTATGTTGCTCCCCATAATATCGTTGATGTTGAACCCTAGATCACAGAGAACCCGGATCGGCCTGACCTTTTTTGCAAGAAGGGCTTTGCCAATGGTGGTCCCACTGAGTCTCAACGAGATATGCTGGGAAAACACTCCAGTGGAGTGGGAAACCCCGGGTTTGTGCACCAATAGATGTACAAGTGGAGCAAGTCTATCTCGGAGAGCATTATGGATCTCAAGCTGGGGAAGGTGTTCGATGGGAAAGCGATGATCACGGCATATATTGCATATAACCTGAAGGAAGTTACCGACAGTCATGATGTTATCCGAATGCGCTTGCTCAAGACTCCTGATGACTGGTCTGAGGTCATCAGGTAGGTCTTTGGGTTCTTCCTCTTCAGAGTCGTACTGGGCTTCGGCGGCGGCCTCCTCTCTGGAGCCCTGCGCTCTAACCTCCTCTGTTTCAACATCAGTTTCAAAGTCGTCCACCTGATACTCCTCTGCTGCGTCAAGCTCCATGGGTTCGGAGCCAGTCATCGCCGACGGTGGAAGTTCAGACAATTCAGATGGCGAAGGGTGCGCCACCATGGGATTATTGAACAATAAGTTATGGAAGTCGCGGATGTGATTTTCCAGATCTTCTCTAGCCAAGCTGGGATGACGGGTGCCGCATAAATCGCAAGAGATATGTTCTTCATCGGGATCCTGCCTCTTGAAACGTGCGACATCCACGAATGCCCAATGAAAAGCATGGGCATCCCCCTCTACTGAGGTCAGAGGCCTGTGTCGGCAACCAGGCCACTCTTCGCAGTCAATGATCGTAGAGTGTTCCTCGTTGTCGGCTCTTTTCTCCCTGAAACGTCTGTTCAGGTCATCGAGGTGTTGTTCGATGTGCTCGTAGATAGCATCCCCGGCGGGCTCAGGGTGTCCCTGGTTGCAGAAAATGCAGTGAGGGTTAATAGGATTCCCCTGCTGAGTCATGATTGCTGAGCTTGGAATTGATTATTTTTTTTTATCTTTTTGATTTGGTTTAGAGTTACTGTAATTCTGGTGTGATTGAGAACAGATAGATCAGTTGGAAGGATGTTGTCGTGACTGATGGTGGAGAGGACAGCAGTGGATGTACCTGTCATTGAGGTTTATATACTACTTTTTGCTACCTTTGGTGGATTGCAGTTGAAATCCAGGCATCGGTTGTTCCCTCAATGTTGCTGTCGCTATCTACCGATCTGCTGGCGGTTCGCCTCATGGAGAGGAATAAACCGAGACTTGGATGGGTCTCACCAGCATTGAATGGAATTATCCGGTCAGAGGTATGTCCTAGATGAAATGTGTGTTACGAAAGAGGCGGAAATACTTTCATATAGATTCAGTCATCCTCGTTAGTAACTATTGCGCGCTTTGCGCCTGGTTAAGTGATAGCCTTAACCTGTATCGTGTTTTCAGAATCCAAATCATTTGCTTGCTTCCTTTCTCCCTTCCGATGTGGCTCCTTCCTATTTCATCTTCTTCTCTAACAATTGATAACCAATTGTTAAGGCCCTACCCTACCAACAAGTCGGCCTGCCTTAATATAAGACAACATAATAGTATGTGTTGGCCTTGAATACAGTCCTACTGGACATTCACAATACAATGAGGCCCTGCGGCTCTTCGGGAGTATCTGGGAGATATGCCCCCTCGGCGCTTGGAGCACGCGAGTGACCAGTGTCCCTTTTGATGGACGGCGTGTATTTTGCAATATGCAAATCAAGTGTGTGTGCGTGACGATTAAAGCGGCACGGCTTGAGGCCTCGGCATCCGTCCTTCTGGCAAAGATGGCCGAGGAAGCACTTAGTGGATCGGCATGAAGGGCCCGTCTGACATGGGTGCTGCCGAAGTATGTATTTCATAACGTCCAGCGAGCTTGGATCAAGACGGCCGTGGTCGTATTCACAGCCAATATTGCTGCACTCGCCGCCAAGATGGAAATTATTGCATGGCTTATGGATTTTGGCGCGACGGGTATAGAGTTCCCAGGCGTCGTGGCCGGGTATCGGACAGTAGGTGTCAATGCGATCTCCGGCCAAGTTTATCGGGATATAATCTTGCCACTTAGGATCGAGGTGGGTGACAAGTTGTGAGGCATAAAACTCTTGAGTGCGAGCACTCGTAGGAGATTCCCTTCCTGGAGGAGAGGGAGTATTGTCGGATCTAGAGAGTTGTTGACCCTGCGGTATGTGGGCCTTGTTGCAGGAGCTGCCGTATCGGCAAATGCCCTGAAGAACATTAGTCGAAAGTCAAAGTATGGCAATGCATTTCCACGCACCTTTTGGAAATGTTTGCAAATCGATCTAGAGGTTGTGGACATCGAAGGCGTATGGTTGGAGGGACTCCCAGTTCCACCAATAGGTGTAGACATGAAGAGGGCGGGAAGCTCCCGCACGGGGAGGCCTAATCTTTCATATTCGCTGTGAAAGTTGGCAGCTTTGAGAAGGGTGATGCGATCAGTCCGGCCACGATAAGGTGTCAGTAGATTAGAATACCCGGAGTCGTGACAACCAGCGAAGAAGATGTGTCTGCACTGGCTGTTGTCGGCAAATAAGCGGAACATTTCTACTGAGGTTAGCTCGAGCCCCTCCAAAATATAGAGCTATTCATACCCCTAATCTTATAGTCCGCTCCCTCTTTCTTATCTCCCGCATCCACGAAATCGAAAAGATCCTCAGCCCGGGTGAAGCTTGCTGTAAAAGGCGACAGAGAGCGGGCTTCCTGTCCCACAATCCCGGAGCGTGCCAATGACCTTGACAATCCAAGCACGTTTGCATAAATGCGTACCATCACACGGCACTGGTCAGCCTGATGGCCTAGTCGATCATGGAGCAGTTCGCGGATGGAATCGTTAAGGATCCGGGCAGCCGTAATGCCACCATCAGCTCCGGCTTTTAGCAGATGCTCTTTAAACTACCGCGGAGTTGATCAGTATGATCTCTCCTAAGGATCCAGATGTACCTACGAGATAGCCATCTCCATCAACGAGGACCAGCACGAAAGGATTTCGCTCCTAAGTCACCGTCAGAGCTGGACAATGTACATACTGACGGATCATTCTGCGTACCTGACCCCTAGCCATCCGCTTGTACTTCTCTCTAGCCTCTTTCTCCTCCTCATAGTCACTCTTGAGGTTGTTGTAGTTGTCTAAGAGCTGGCGGAACTTATCCAGGAGGTTCTGTACATCGGCATGGTGTTGCTGGTTCTGCTGCACAATGCTTGATAGATTGCTATCTAGAGCGTGGATCTCGGCATCACCAAGCATATTGTTCGATTGGGATATGGTTTCATGTCGAAGGAGCAGGATCGTCTGTTTTCTTTTTTCTCGAATGGGACACTGTCGCTAAGGAATAATGTCGAGGGATTTGCGGAGACCACCATCGGTGGGTGGCTGCGTATCCCGAAAGATAAGGATGGATGGGTCGACTAACATTCACTCAAGACGAGGGAGGGACGGTAATGATAGGTAGGTGGTGAAGACTCCAAAGGAACGGGCAAGTGTCGACGAGCGAAAAGAGGAGAAGCAAAGCAAAGCAAAGCAGCGGAACTAGTTGGAAACTAGTTTGGATTTGTTGTGTTGGCCGTCGCTTACCCGCTGCGGTACCTGCGCTTATCGATAAGCGGTTATCCTGTTTATGGCAGGCGGTGGGAGAGAGCTGCTATCGGAGCGGGGTAGCAGACTATCCCTCTTTGGGTATATTGTCAAGCATTGCTGCTATAATCCACTTATGCGCACGTGCATTACATGTCTACAACACATTCATTTGGAATGACAGAGTCAGGAATTGAATAGTCCAGTGAGCAGTGAAAGCAGCCATGCCAATCATTGTGGTTGGAAGGTGAAAGATATCCAACGCTTGTGGGCGTTCTCTGCAGCCATCCGACTCTTTTGACCATTTCACCAATCATCTACCCTTACACGGTCCAATATGTTCTGCACAAAAGGAAAATACCAGGACTATTATGAGATCCCAATTCTATATTTGCACTGATGCATACTGGTCTCTTACTGGTATGGCTCTTCCAAGTACATAACCCTGAATTACACTGTCGTCGTTATCACCGATCTAGTATGGTAACAAAGCCACAAGCTGACCACGTCATGACAACAACCGCATATGTCTCTGTACTCATACAAAAACCAACAAATAGATCAACACAGGTTTCAATGTCTCCGCCTCTACCCCCCCTTCTCACTCCCCTTCTCGCCCTTTCCCAAAACCATCTCATCCCTCCCCCAAACCAACACCACCGCCGCCCCAACCGGCCCAGCAACAACCCCCAACAACCCGACCCTCACCACCAACGACACCCACTCACACCACCCCATTGCACCACCTTTATCCATCCTCACTGCATTCCCATACAATTTCCACGCCCAAACCACCATTCCCGCCGACCCAATCAAGTAATCCCACCTCAGGAACGCATGCACTCCGTCTCCAACACTAGCCACCTGTATAACGGGCGATGTCCACGGCGTGGGGATCCCGAAGACAAGACTGGGGTGCAAGGAGGTCCTGTATTCCGGGGAGAGGATAACAGGTGCGAGGATAGTAGACAGTGAGACGGTCAGGGTGACGAGGTGGGGGATTAGGGTGTTGAAGAAGGCAAAGGCGTAGATGAATCGGAGGGAGGAGAGGTTGTGGTTCTTCTGGGTGGGTTTAGGGGTGGATGTGAATGGGGAGAAAAGGGTGTGGGAGAGGGTGAGAAGGATGGAGATGTAGGCTGGGAAGGGTTGCCAGAGGGCGATGAAGAGTTGTTTTAGGTCGGTTGTTATGGTTGAGGAGATGGGGAGGACCATGAGGGCGCTGGGGATGATGTAGGAGACGGTGAAGATTAAGGGGAAAGTGGTGAGGATTGTTTTGGGGATGTGGATGTTGGTTGCTGTGGGAGAGGTGGAGGTTATGGATGTGGTGAGTTGCAGGGCGCAGTAGAGAGGGGCTGCGAAGGCGAAGGTTAGGGTTTGGGCGGAGAGGCCGAATATCAAGGGACTGGTGGTGTGGTTAGCTTGATACACATGGGTACATTGTTGTGGACTTACTATGCTGCCAGTGTCCAGGCATTCCCTTGTCGCCATGATTCTAGGGTTATCAGGATCCAGGCGGAACCGAATGTCCCTGCGAATCCGAGCGTATGGAGAGTCAAGGCGGGGTGGCTTCCATCGGTGGTAGGCCAGAAAAAGGTAGTTAAGGTGGTGAGCAGGTGGTCCAGTCGAGGGAGACCGGTGTAGACGGTTCGTAGGGGTGCATCGCTGCCTGGGAGTGTTTTGCGCTCGATGCTTTGTCTTGCTAGTTCGAGAAGACCATTGGCGTCGGCGTAGTACCAGATGGCATAAAGGGTGAAGAGACTGAGGGCGGGAAGGATCAGTTTGGCAGACATGGTGCGTGGCTGTCGAGGTGCTTGCTAAAAAAGTAGGGTCCAGTCGTCCTTATATGCGGTGCTAATACTGTCCCTTACTTTTTGTACAACATGTAGATCGCAGACCGAAAGGGTAGCCGTTGCGAGCAGCCGATCGTAGATCTGCGTCTACCGAGGCTGTCATCGGGAACCAGATCCGGGGCTTCACATGGTAGTGTAACACATTGATCCGACTGTCCAGGGGGCAGTTGATCTCTGTACTACACGGTGGTTCAATTATGATTCCAATCCTCAACACATGGACTCATAATCATTGCCGAATTCCGACTCCAAACGTTCTTCCCTACAAAATACAATGTCCCGGCTATACGAGTGAATCAATAGCTCAGTCAATATTAGCAGAAAGCTTATCATTCCCTTCCCAAACAAAACGAAGCTATGGTGTACATCAGAGAAACCCATGACATCCCCCTTCACAACATAACCTCACATACCATACCCTCCTACAACTACACATCTCCTCTAAACAAGGACAAAGAACCCCGAAGCATCTCACCTCATCCCTCCACCCCCAAACTCAAACCCTCCCTGCTCTATACATTTCCTTTATTTACATCATCCAAGCAACTCAGCTACCAGGCTATTAACAACCTATCCGCCGCCCACCGAACCCTACCCATCCAACCATGGATCGCACTCCCCATGACACCATCACTCTACACCACCAAAACAATAAATACACCCCTCCACCAGCTACAATGCCATCTCTACTCAAACCCTCCACCTCTCTCATCTACCACCCCCAAAATGCCCTCCCCATCACCATCCCCATCACCCTCAAGCACCTCCTCCCTATCCACCATCCCAACCGCCCACGCGAGCCGCACCCAAACTCTAAGCCGGCCGCAAACCAACATCGAGGTCTCGCGCATCGAGACACTTCGTCTGACGCACGAATCCACCGTCGGGTCAAAGGCGCCTCAGACACCTCGGGATGAATGGTTACCTATGGGCGGGGGGAAAGAGTTTCCCCCGTTACTACCGGATCCGGATCGCTATGTGGTCGAGTTTACGGGTGAGGAGGATCCGATGCATCCGCATAATTGGCCCATTGGGACGAAGTATGTATTCTTCTATGTATATTTGCTTGGTTGGGTGTATGTGTGTATGTGTGTGTGAGAGAGAAGAGGCTAACGAGGCTATTTATGATGGTGATGTAGGATTCTCCTTTCAGGTATCCTAGCCTACGTGACGTTTACTGCGTCTTTCGCTAGTGCGATCTTTTCTTCGACTGTCGGGGCGCTTAGTATACACTACGGGATTAGTACCGAGGTCGCGACGCTCGGCGTGACGCTGTATGTGCTCGGGTTCGCGGCCGGGCCGACGTTCTGGGCGCCTGCGTCGGAGCTGTCTGGGCGGCGGTGGCCCATTACTGCTGGGGTGTTTGGGTATAGTATCTTTACGGTGGCGACGGCTACAGCGAAGGATGTGCAGACGATTATGTTGACCCGGTTCTTTGCGGGTTTGTTCGCGGCGAGTCCGTTGTCAATTGTGCCGGCGGCGTTTTCGGATATCTACAATAATCGGACGCGGGGGATTGCGATCGCGATGTTTGCGATGGCAGTGTTTGTGGGGCCGTTTGCGTCGCCGTTTACGGGAGGTTTCATTGTCATGAGTTATCTGGGGTGGAGGTGGACAATGTATATTGCCGCGATTATGGGGTTTTTGGGGTCAGCGCTGTTGCTGTTGTTTTATAAGGAGACGTATGCGCCAGCGTTGTTGATGGCGAAGGCGGCGACGGTGAGGAGGCAGACGAGGAATTGGGGAATTCATGCGAAGCAGGATGAGGTGGAGATTGACTTTCGGGAGCTGATTACGGTGAATTTTAGTCGGCCGTTTCGGATGCTGTTTACGGAGCCGATTGTATTTCTGGTTACGCTGTACATGTCGTTCATTTATGGCCTCATGTATGCCTTGCTGGCGGCATATCCGGTGGTGTTTCAGGATATTCATGGCATGAATCTTGGGGTGGGCAGCTTACCGTTTATTGGGCTAATTATTGGGGAGATTCTGGGAGGAGTGTTTGTCTTGTCGAGTCAGGGCTCGTATACCAAGAAGTTGAGGGCAAATAACGACATCCCCATCCCCGAGTGGCGGTTGCCTCCGGCCATCGTCGGGGGCATCTCATTCACCATTGGACTCTTCTGGTAAGGCGCCTGTCTGTTGGGCGAATACCTGGCTGATACAATTAGGTATGGCTGGACCGGATGGACGCGATCGATCCATTGGATGGCCCCGACGGCGTCCGGGCTGTTCACCGGGTTCGGCATCTACTGCATCTTTCTGCAGTGTTTCAACTATCTGATTGATTCGTATCTGCAATTGTGAGTGCCTTCCAGGACGCAATTCGTTGGAAGCTTCTGACCGAACAGCGCCGCGTCTGTTTTTGCTGCCAACACCATCCTGCGGTCTGCAGTTGGGGCATGCTTCCCTCTCTTTGCGCGACAGATGTTTGTCAACCTGGGGGTGCAGTGGGCAGGCACATTGCTGGGGTGTCTCGCGGCGATTATGATCCCTATCCCCGTGGGGTTCATCATGTTTGGACCCGCCCTACGACGGAGAAGCAAGTTTGCCCCGGCGGCAGCGGTGTTCCAGGAGAAGTCGGCCTAGTCAGGGTCTGAACACAGTCCGTTAGATAGACACTCACCATCATATCAATCTTAGATAGCTGTAGGTAAGTCAGTGGTGATGACAAATAAAGCCAAGGGTGCCAAGGGAGGCATCTGGTTCTGACTGATAAGCATTTGGCGACTGGACGCTGTGAGTCGTGGGAATCCGCTGGCGCCTCTGGGTGCTCGATGGTGATTGCCTCGTGCTGGTGCTGCCAAGGGCACCATCCACGGAATGACTCTCGGTACTGGCTCTGCCAAGCTGCCAAGCTGTCCGCGTTCAGAAATCCTGGCGAAGGATTGGAACTGCTTGAGTCAATTTATGACGGACGCCTGCTGCTTATCGCTCGCTAATGTAAATTTTTTTCGTTGCGGTTTATCTGCCAGTCATACTCAAGTCCCTGACAGATAAAACCCGGGGTTCCCGCGGGGACCCTTTTTCTTCCCTGCTGTCAACCCACCTTGCATACTACAAAGAGTAGTAGCACCATGCGCTATCTTGACTGGGTACACCGCGTCAACCTGGCAGTGGCTCGTAGCCCTGTCGGGTGGTGGTTTCGTCTGGAAAACTCGGGTCATGTAGGTTTGCTTGCTGCGCACGCGACACGGTGAACTAATCCTGTGCAGCCTAATGAACGGAAAGGCAGCTTTTTCTTTACCGAGATGCGCGCCGGCTTAGCGACGTTTTTCGCCATGGCCTACATCATTAGCGTGAATGCCACCATTACCTCCGACACGGGCGGAACCTGCGTCTGCCCACCCGAAAGCTATGCCGACCAATGCGACACCAACACCGAATATTTGCTGTGCGTGCAGGAGGTCAAGCGCGATATTGTCACGGCGACCGCCGCCATTGCTGCCCTCTCCACCTTCTTTATGGGTGTTTTCTCGAACTTGCCCGTGGCGCTGGCACCAGGCATGGGGCTCAATGCATACTTCGCCTACACCGTGGTCGGACACCACGGCTTTGGCATGATTCCCTACAGAGTGGCTCTGACTGCCGTCTTTGTCGAAGGATGGGTCTTTCTGGCCTTGACGCTACTGGGAATCCGCCAGTGGTTGGCCCGCGCGCTGCCCGCGTCGATCAAGCTGGCAACCGGCACGGGCATTGGGCTGTATCTTACGTTGATTGGGCTTACCTACAGTGCGGGAATCGGGTTGGTAACAGGCGCCACGGACTCGCCTATTGAACTGGCCGGCTGCGTGGATAGTCTTCGCGATGCGACGACCGGCCTCTGTCCGTCGGATGCAAAGATGCGCAATCCGACCATGTGGATCGGGATATTCTGCGGTGGAGTCCTGACAGCTCTGCTGATGCTGTATAGGGTGAAAGGCGCCGTTATTATCGGAATCTTGCTGGTGTCCATCATTTCGTGGCCGCGACCGACCCCGGTGACGTACTTCCCGCACACCGAACTGGGTAATAGCATGTTTGACTTCTTCAAACAAGTCGTTACCTTCCACCCGATCAAACACACATTGGTTGCACAGGACTGGGATATCACGGGACACGGGTCGCAGTTTGGGCTGGCCTTCATTACCTTCCTGGTTAGTTGCATGATGTCACTCGCTTAAAACGGCAGCTAACCCATGCAGTATGTGGATATCCTCGACACCACTGGTACGCTGTATTCCATGGCGCGATTTGCCGGGACGGTCGATCCTCGCACGCAGGATTTTGAAGGCAGTGCTCTGGCCTACGTAAGTGACTTTCCTGTGTATTGCCCGAACTTGACTGACTAGTCAGATGGTGGACGCCATTTCCGTCTCGATCGGATCCCTCTTTGGCACGTCTCCTGTCACAGCATTTGTCGAAAGCGGCGCCGGAATCTCCGAAGGCGGTAAGACCGGCCTCACCTCCTGCATGACGGGCATCTGCTTCTTCATTGCGGTATTCTTCGCCCCGATCTTCGCCTCCATTCCCCCCTGGGCCACTGGCTGCACCCTGGTGATCGTGGGGGCGTTGATGGTCAAGGCGGCGGCCGAAATCAACTGGCGCTACCTTGGGGACGCGGTGCCTGCCTTCCTGACCATTGCCATCATGCCGTTCACGTACAGTATCGCGTACGGGTTAATCGCGGGTATCTTGAGCTACATCACACTGAACGGTATCATCTGGGCGATCGAGAAAGTGACTCGGGGACGCATCGTGCCCCCCAATAAGGATGAAAAGGAGCCCTGGTCGTGGAGGATACCTGGGGGGTTCTTCCCGCCGTGGCTGCGCCGCGCCGTTCGGGGAAAGAAGGACTTTTGGCGGGAGGACGAAAGGGATCGCAGTGTGATGGATGGGGGATCGGTTGAGTCACAGGATCGACCGGAAAAGCAAGACGTGGCGGCGGGGGGCAAGGATATGTAAAGTGTAATTAGTCGTGATTCGATCTCATCGCAAGCTAGCTGTAATATATACCGGAATCAATTGCCGCGCGTGACCGGATGACGTTCGGGGAGGGTTGAGGAGAGGATTGTAGGACACCAATGATACTAAGCGCCCGGGGGGAGGTGGATTGTTGTTTGTTGCTGGCGGATGGGACAACGTGGCCGGGAGGGGGTTGGGGTTGGGAACTGGCAATTGGAAGTTGGGAGTTGGACTGACTGGCTGACTGACGGTCTACTGGGAACCATGTCGAACAAATGAGTTAGTAAGAGGATGATGCTATAATGGACCAGGGTATTGGACGGCTTACCCGAAGGAATTGAATTCCGGTCGCACAGGGTTGGCGGGAAGGCGATGCTGCGGGAGGAAGCAGTCTGAGCTAGAATGGAGTTGGAATGGTTCTCGCCTCCGGGAGGCACTCAAGCCACCGTGGGGATGGGTGAGCGGGAATGGCGACGCTTGAGAGAAGAATGTAGGGGAGATGAGTGGAGGGGAAAAGGATAAGAAGAGAGATGGCATATGGCAGATGGTAGATGATGGAGGGGGGGGGGAGGAGTGGATCAGAGGGACTAGCTCAGTGCTAGTAAGTAAGTAGATAGGAAGTGGTGGTGGACTAGTAGTACGTAGTTACTGTTAGTAGTAGAGGAGAGAGTGTGTGTGTGTACTGGTGCTGGAAATACCATTGGAATACCAGTCAAGCCATGGAAGGTACCTGGTGAACCACGCCAATCAGTGTCTTGATACGGTAATTCCGGGCGGGGAAAGGTCGGTGCATACCCGGCAACCAATTAGCCTTGATACTTCCACCATCACTGGAGCTGGAAGTGACTTCCAACCACTCACAGTTTATCTTTTCTTCCCTGCCTCATTTTTTTTTTTCTCTCTCCAAAAATGTTCCAGCCCTGGCAGCAAATCCCCAATGACCCAGCTTGGTATGGTATCTAACTACTACTAACTTAAGTAGTAGTGGTTACTAACTAGTAGCAAGCAAGTCATTGGAACCAAGTACAGGGCTACGGCTACTTGTTCCTCCTTCCGAGTTCAATCATGGTTCCCATGCTTCAACATCTCCTAGCTTCTCTTCGCCCCTTCGTCTGCCTCCTCTTCTCTTAGTCCTTTTCCCCCTCTCCTCTCCTCTCCTCTTCTTTCACTCTCACTCCCCCCCTTGGGCCATTCCCTTCTCTTTTATCTCCCCTTGTTCGTCCTCCCCTCCCAACTCGCCCCATCCCTCCACCATGGGTGAGCACCATGGCCGATACTAAGTCGCGCCCTTTGGCTCCCGCCCCGCCGGGTGCCAACGCCGCTCTCGATGCCCAACAACGCAGGAAAAATGTAGGCACCGCCTGTGCGGCCTGCAAGACTCGAAAGCTCAAGGTAATTTTTGGCACATGGCCCCATGATTTGCATCCATTGTCACCCCAATACTGATGTCCCCAGTGCACAGGTTCCGTGCCCTGTGCCAACTGCGTCAAGAGCAAAGTCGAATGTACCCTTGACCGGAGTGCCGATAAGCGTCGTCGTGGCGCCCTGAAACGCAAAATTGATCAGCTTGCCGACCAGGAGGACCTCCTTGTCCGGCTCGTCAGCGTTCTCCGCGAGAGTGGCAATCGTCGCGCCGTGCCCTTGATCAACCTCATCCGCAGTGACGCCTCGTTGGACGAGATCCGCTACTATATCAACCACCAGCTGCCTCGCTTGGACCTGGCGCAGACTCCGGAACTCGTCGAAGTATGCCAGGAGGTGAAGCAACTCCAGCCATCTGAGTCGCGGTCCATGCGGCGGATTCTCGATGCCAAACGGTTATCCGACATTCCTCGCTTTCAGGTCCCCGCTCGACCTTGGACGACCGTCGTCTCCGATAATGATTTCGTTTCTCACCTCATCTCGCTCTGGTTCACCTGGTCGCATCCGTTTCGAAACTGGATCGATAAGGAATTGTTTGTGCGGGATATGCAGGCAGGATCGCTGTCGGCTCGATTTTGCTCCCCGTTTTTGGTCAACATTATCCTAGCGGAAGCTTGCGTACGTGATGTCTCTATATACTAGCTTGGCTCATCTAACCGTCCCAGGCATACTCTGATTATCCAGAGGCATATGCGAGACCGGGAGATGCGGCTTCGAAAGGAGCCCGCTTCTACGAGGAGGCCAAGCGTTTACTGGACAAGGAAGAGGGGCGGATTACGCTTCCAACCGTCCAGGGACTAGGTGTATTGTGGGCATGGTATGTTTTGTGTCATTCTGGAGTGCTTATGATACTGACTGTGTAGTGCTTCGATGACTGGGCGGGATCGCCAAGGGTGGATTCACCGCGGCCAACTTGCCTATGCTATCCAGGAACTTTCGCAGAAGAATTCCGTTCTGGCGTCTGATGCCGATGAAGATACGCTCCGCATGGTTCGAGTTATTAACGGGACCGTTTGGGGACTGTTCAACGTGGCCACGTAAGCTTCTGCGCAACCCTCCAGGCGAATCGTGCAACTAACCCGTGAACAGGAGTCACGCCTTGGCCGACAAGAGCCGCCCCTTGATCAAGCCGCCGCAGCGCCACAGTCTGCCCCTCGTCAGCCATGAGGGCGACTCGGACGAATGGCGACCGTATCCGGATCATGCAGAAGGAACGGAGGGGCATTCTGTCTGTCTGTTCAGCGCGCTGTGCGGCTTGAGTTTGATTGCCTACGATGTAGCGACCTTCTTCCACCGCGAGGCGCCATCGCGCCCACGGGCGGAGACGGAAAGTAAAGTGGCAGACCTTTATGAGCGTCTTCGTCTCTGCTCCGACCGGTGGCCCACGTGTCTGAAGACTAAACTTGAGGCCCCACATATTCTCTCTTTGCAGTACGTCTAGAGTGTGAATTCGCCAACACCCCTCACTAACCGGAGTAGTATGTATCACCATGCGATAATCATGAGAATCTACGAGCCGTTGAAGGAATATTCCACACTGCCCGTTACGACCATTTCGCCTGTGCGCGCCCGTGAGATGTGCTTCTCGTCAGCGCGTAATATCGCCCACCTGATGCGGATCCACCGTTCTTGCTGGGGACTCGACCGCATGCCCGTCAGCAACATCCAGTGTATCACCGAGGCTTTGTTCACGTTGCTGGATGACTTGGAGGAGCCCAACAACCGTGAGGCATTCATCACCCTCAGTATCGCGGCCAAGGCATTTTCGCGACGATGGGAGTCGAGCCAGACCATCCTAGGCACGCTCCGCACGACCGCCCAGGCGAAGAGGCTGACACTGCCCACGGAAACTGACTCGCTGTTTACCATCACGGTTGCACCGCCGCCGCTTGGCCTGCGCGACAGCGTTGACCTCCTTGATGACAGTGAGGAGGCGTAGGACCAGGGTTGATGCCATAGGACAAGTTAGGCGCCCAGAACTGGCACTGTCTCTTGACTTACGGCGCTATATAGACCCTCAGGGATGTCTGGAGGGGTGGACTGGTACTTAGTGACATTACGCTTATTGCGATGGTCCCAGCGTGGCTTAGATGTGTGACATGCTGCGTGCCAGCCCTATGTTGCTCATCCGAGGCACGATCCGGGCCGACGGAATTGGTTCATATCCGTGATAGATTATAATACCCATAGAACCTGCAAGTTGATGTAGCCTTCCACAATATGTAGAAGAGCGAGGTGACCGACGCGCCTGACACTTCACCAGTACTAGCTTGCGATGCCATCCAGACTCTCCATGCAACTGAACTCAGTCTGATCACGTGGCCTGCTGGCTGCCGCTTGGGCCGCCGGGCAGACAAAGACACAACCACTCATGTTGATGCCTTCCCTCTCCTCCCCCCTGTAGATAGATGGGCTGTGCAGTCAGTCCGCACTGCAACTCACAACATATCAAATGTCTGTGACATCAACCAGACAGCCGTGCGACTCAAACATCTCTCCCACAAGCCTCACCACAGCGGTTGGGCATCATGGTTTGACAGATGTGACTACGTGCCCACCCGCGGCGGCTAGCCAGCGCCACTAAATCCAGCCTCGTCGATCGCCAGCTATAAATCCTCCGTCGGCCGTCAGCTGCAAGCAACCTGTTAGTCTGACGTTCGCCTATTATGCTAGCATATGGGCCATCTTTCCGGCCCGTCTGACACGGTAAATGGAGAAGCTTCCCACGAGCTCCACGAGTACAATGCCCGAGGGCATTACCATCTATGAGCGAGGTGGGTTCGTATCTGCTGAGCCGTGGCCATAGCGCTGATAAGCTCAGGAACGGGACCATGGATGGAAACTGGGGCATCCTTACTTGATTTGGATCTTGAGGTATGCATTCCGCGGTGGTCCTTGATGGCTGGCATTGACGATAGCAGCACCCGACAAAATCCTTCCTTATGTAGGATATACCAGTCCTCTCGGAATGAATTTTGTTTTCGTTAATGCGTGTAGATTCTCAAAACGCCAAACTCTGAATGAGACGAAGTATCTGCGCCTCTTTACGGATGAATTTCAGCCTCTTATTAGTAAGGACATCAACGGGTCTTTGTTTTGTGACGATGTTCTCGACGAGAACGACAAGCCTATCAAGCACGGTTTGTTGTCAACGCAAGGTCGGATGGACAAACATGAGGCTAATGAATTCGTCAGTCTCCTGGGCTTGTTATAAGATAAAACACGTCCGCGATCCTCATACTTACGAATGGATCCAAACTACCGTCTTTGTAACCTGGTATCCGGAAACCCAGATCCAAGTCGTATTTATTGTCGACCATCCAGACCCGCCCAGTAAGTTGGTTGCTATCCTACCCCCGACTCAGGCAAACAACAACCCGTATGTTTGGCATGCTGTAATTGCCAATACCATGGTCGGTGTCTATGATCATTCTTTCTGGGCGCTTCGAGATCTAGTGCGCACCACTGAGAAGGTGAAATTATTCCGATCCAGATCACTATACCGTATACTAAACTTAATACAGTCGAGAGTTGATGTTAAGAGCCTGACCCCCGACTTTTTCCCTCATTTACACGATATCGCACGGCATGTCTTTCACTCAAACGAGACCCTCGAGGTCGCTGAACATACCATGCAATGCCTGGTGGAAGAGCAGGCGCGCTCCTACGAGCTGTATTCCAGTATCAACAAGGGCGAATGGCTCCAGAATAAACGGAACCTCCTCCGACGGGCCAAGGACTTTCACTCACTGAAGATCCGAAGCCGATCGCTCTCAGAGCGGTTACACAACGAGATTAACTTGGTATGAAGCCACATGTCCGTATGTTTGAGGTAGAGTCTAACGTAATAGGGCTTCAACCTCGTCTCCCAACGATTCGGCCACGACGCCAAGTCCGACAGCGCAATGATGAGAACGGTTGCCATCGTCAGTATGGTATATCTACCGGGAACATTTGTATCGGTATGTTACAAACTTGAAGCTTCATGGTATACCTCGATGCTAAGAAGCGTAGGGCCTATTCGGGACGAATTTCTTTGATTACGAAAATGGAAACGAAGTCATGACCAGTTCATTTTGGATCTATTGGGCCATTACTATCCCGTTGACTCTGATCACGATGTTTGTCTGGGCGTGTTGGCATTATTATCCGAGGAAGAAGGTGGTGGGGGAAGAAAGACAACGAATGATGACGTTTAATGGGTCACAGGTTTGATCATCTTGTCTATCTTGGGTATAGTTCATGTGTAGATGTGATATGAGTTACGAGTATGTTTGGCTTGAGATTATGAAAAAATACTATTGAGATGTTGTGTACGGTCCTATTACCTTATATTCATTGGGATATATCTTCAGTCTACTCAGGGTGGCCGTGATGTGTCAACATTGCCTTTCGTTCGCTCTAGTTTTACGACCAAGATAGGTACGGAGTAGCGGGTTAGATTTGAATGTATGCATCACCAGATCCTGGTTATATATATAAGATATATGGCCTAGCAGTATCGGAAGGAAAACGGGTTCGACCCGTTCCTTGAAGAGGGTATTAATAAGGCAACACTACTATTAAATGGTCCATGAAAACCCTCTACACTATTTACAACGATAAAAGGTTATATATGTAGATATACGATGTTGCATAGATAGTAGTATTCTATTATATTCGGTACCATCCATTTACTGATGACTGGAATCTTCAGTGGTTTACATATAGTTATGTTATCATTCAAATTCGCCCATACCATTTGTTATACATAGCCATTAATAGCCATCAACAACAGTTTATTCACTTCTTGTGACGGTAGATGACCTTTACTACTTGAGCTATACATATATTTATCTTTCTGCCTATCACTACCAACGCTAGTGGCAATCATGAAGGAGATCGTAATCAAAGCCAACAGTATTATGACAGTACACATCAAAGATAGTATGTGCCAAAGCTTATCACAAACCTGCATCAAGTCCCTTCCTCCTCGTCTGGTCAATCACCTCCACCAGCTCACTCACAGTCTTCGCATCCCGCGGAACAGTATGTCCCTTGCCATGGTCAAACATAACCGCCATATCCGGGTCACAGACCCCATACAACGCCATAGCAGCATCCACGAAGGGATCATTAACCCCGATGATATGACACTTCGGGACCGCAATCATGTTTTCGCACTCATCGGCCAAGCATCCTGTTACTCGCTGCCCGTCTAGACGAACGGGCGGCCAGCCCGCGAAGAAGATTCCATACTAAAGCCACAAGTTCAAATGTTAGCACACAGACCTTCTCCTCGTCACGTAATGACAATACGCTGTTTTCAGATTGAGCATAAGTAGTAGTTGTAGATATTGCCATACCTTGAGCTGTCTCGTCTTCCCTTCCTCTCGGACACGACGGTCTTCTTCAACCAGCAAACTAGCAGCCGCTGTAACTCCTTCCAAAAACTCTAGTATACCCTGCATTTCATTACGATCAGTTACTATTATCCCATATGCTAGCCCGAAGGAAGGGGTAAGGGAGGGGAGTTCAGCTTACGTCAATATCAGGGTTTTCTTCCAAGATGGCAAACAATTTCGCCATCATCCCTCTCACACTATCCGCAGACATCACCTCGCTCTCCTGATTTAGGAACTGCATCGTGTCCTCGGCTGTCGACCCCTTCGATAGCCGATTGACCCGTCCCAGAAGATCATCGGATCGTCTGGTCCCATCGTATTCGATTAACCGGTAGTGAGGAGGCTGGCCGAAGAGATCAGCGTATCCTTGGGGCGGTGTAACGGGGTATCCACCGTCGATGAAGTGGAAGGAGATGTCGGGACACGCGGATTGCATGGCTGTGGTTAGGGGCTTGAGTTGGATTTGAAATTGTTCGGCGCTGCCGTAGCCACCGTGCAGGCAGATGATTGTCATGGTATCTGAAGAAAAGGATAACACTGATTCGGAAAAGGTTCAATTACACGAAGCCACGAGAGTGGAAAAGATTTATGAAGCTGCTGTGATGAGGAGGGGCTTGGGGGGTAAGGAAGTTTGGGAGTTGTGGCCGGGAGGATGCGGTGCAATTGAGGGTTTTATAATAACAGTAGTGCTAGCATAGTTAGGTTTGTTTCGGTAAATGATAGCTCATCTTTCTTATTGATTGCTTTTTCCGCCTCTCTAGATTGGCTTTGATTAGGTCGGCGGACCGGATCGCGAGTTTGAGTTGGGAGAAACATCGAAGAAAAGGTTATGTATGTCAGCGGGACAGCTGGCAGAGCTACAGTACATTGTAGTATTGAAAAAGCTAGAACCAAAAGCAATGTATGTAAACAGGGTTGCTGGTAAGGTTCCAGAAGGGATTCCCTACACGGTGATGGAATAGGTCTTGAGGTTTACACCTAATCTGACACATGGTCACAGGGCATGCAGATCTATGTTGACGAAAATCATACTACTATAGTTGCTAAGACGGGTTTCACAGCATAAGGGTATCGGGCTTGTATACTGGTTGAATCTCGATTCAGATCTAGAGACAGTATTTAGTAGTGGAGATTGGGGCCGAAACTATTCGGCTACTTGAAGTTATCTGGAGCCGATCCCTTCGCTTCTGTTCGGGTCGCTGATCGGTGGCCCTTGTGGTCACCGGAAGGCAGAAAATTACTATCCTTTACTTTCCCTTTCCTCATATGTCACCGCAGATGACCTTCTCAGCTTCCGAATTACGGAGAACATGCGATAGTAGTAATCGCTCTGCTCCGTTCATGAAATCTCAGTGGACAAGCCACGTCATCATCTTGCCTTTCAGCTGTGCCACAGCTTTACTGGTGATCAGCGTTTTTCTGTCGGCCCAAAATTGCAGACTGATAGTGCGCGGTCAAACTAGTCGAGAAATACATGAAACTGCTTCCGCATTGATCGATTTGGCTCAGACTATGGACAGAAATGTCTTATTGTCTCTACTGGTAGCAGGTCTTATACAGGAAGTAGGGCAATGTTGTCCTTACACGTGTAGATTGTGCATGGCCCTTGTGCTAGAAGTAAACCTTAGCCTTAGAAAAAGAAAGGAAAGAAGACGGGCAGGAAGACAGAAAATTAATAATGAACAACAAGGCGTTTTACCGCAAGTCGATCGGTCACAGACGATCTTATGCTCCATTGCTGGAACGGATGGTTAGAAAACATAAATAGCGAGAATATCATCTGCCCCATCGGCTTCTTTCAGCTGAAGTTTTCCCACAGAAAACTTCTTTCTCTCTGATACCCTTGCTTCCTTCCTTCTTTCCAAGCTATCATTATCTCAGTGTCCAGTATGCATGATCCTACGGCTCCCATCGCCATTGTGGGCATGTCCTGTCGTCTTCCGGGCCAAGTCCGTACACTTGATGACTTCTGGACACTCATATCTCGCGGTCGCGATACCTGGAACCCAATCCCCTCTGACAGGATATCCAGTGCGGCGTACTACCACCCCGACCCCCAGCGAAAGGGCTGCTTTAATCCCAAGGGAGGGTACTTTATGCAGAATGGCCTTTCCCAATTCGACGCTCCCTTCTTTCACATTACGCAGCAGGAAGCTATAGCCATGGGTAAGTATCATCACTCCTACTCGTAGGTTCAATTTCTAGCAAGTCGGCCGACGATGCCTTTAGATCCCCAACAGCGACATCTCCTCGAATGTGCCTATGAAGCCGCTGAGAATGCTGGTATCCCACTGCAATCCATAGCGGGCTCACGTATGGGAGTCTTCGTGGGCCTTGGTCTGTCAGACTACCGCCGCGGAGTGCTTCGCGACCTGAACACAGTCCCCATTTTCGATGCCACGGGTGGTCATGAATCTATCCAAGCTGGTCGTATTTCACATTTCTTCAACCTCCGTGGTCCGTCTATGGCTATTGATACGGCCTGTTCATCCAGTCTGTATGCCCTACATCTGGCCGTGCAGAGCATTCGTTCTGAGGAGGCAGATTCTGCTCTTATTGCTGCAAGTAAATTGCGCATACAACCGGATAATATCGTCTCTATGTCGATGATGGGGTAACGTCATTCTATAGAAAATAATGAGACTCTATGTTCTGGATGCTAACCAAGACCCGAATACAATAGGCTATTTAACGAGCACGGAAAGACATTTTCATTCGATCACCGTGCCCTCTCTGGATTTGCCTGCGGCGAGGGAACCTGCTGACTACTTATTAAGCCACTGGATCAGGCATTGAAGAACAATGACCAGATATATTCGGTCATTATGAACACTGGAGCGAACCACGATGGTCAAACTGTCGGTGCATCCACCACCCTTTAGACAAGGAAAATTCAGGGCGACAAGCTAACAACGCTAGGCCTGACGAATCCCAATGGAGAAGCCCAAGAACAGCTCATGCGAGAGGTCTATGCCCGCGCCAACATCTCCCCTGGTGAGACAGGGTTTGTGGAGGCACACGGCACGGGAACCAAGGTTGGTGATCCCATTGAAGTCGGTGCCATCCAGCGGGTGTTCGGCGAGGGTCGGACCAAACGAGCGCCGCTATACATCGGCTCCGTCAAATCCAACTTTGGACATCTCGAGAACGCCAGTGGGCTTGTCTCCGTAATCAAGGCGTCCCTGATGTTGCATCGCGGATTTATTCTCCCCAATGCTAACTTTGAGCGCGCCAACCCCGCCATCCCTCTCGACAAATGGAACATGAAGGTGCCGACCAGTCTGCGTCCCTGGCCCCAGGGCAAGAAATACGTCAGTATCAACAACTTCGGCTTTGGCGGCTCCAACTGCCATGTCGTACTGGAACGACCTTCCCGTGCCCGGGGTCAGGCCCCCAGCGCTCCTCATGATACGCCACGGCTCTTTGTGCTCAGCGGCTATGATGAGGAGGCTGCCAAACGCGTTGCCCAGAACCTCCTTATCTACTTAGAACAACACCCAGGAGACTTCGAACGCCGCCTAGTGCACGATGTCGCATACACGCTTGGTGAGCGACGCTCTCATTTTCCTTGGCGAATTGCATTTACCACCTCGTCCACCAGTAATGAACTTGTCAAGGCCTTGAATGGGCCGGCGAGCATTCCTCAGCGCGCCAAGCTGGGAGCCGGCGCTTCTCCCACTATAGCCTTTGCGTACACTGGACAGGGCGCACAATGGCCACGCATGGGTATAGAACTCATCGATACCCACCCGGTATTTGCAGCTACCATGCAGAAAGCAGCGCGCACATTGGAGGATCTGGGGGCTGACTTCTGCCTGTTCGAAGAGCTGAAGCGTGAGGCATCTGAATCTCGTGTCAGTCAGCCGCAGATCTCCCAAGTGGTCTGCACTGCCGTGCAGCTTGCCCTGACGGATCTCCTGGCTTCCTGGGGCATCGAACCGAAGATGGTTGTCGGACACTCCAGCGGAGAGATTGGAGCAGCTTATGCGGCAGGTGCGCTTTGCGTGAGCAACGCCATTGCCCTGGCGTACCATCGGGGCCGACTTGCTGCTCAAATTCGAGTCCGGTTTCCAAAATTGAATGGTTGCATGATGGCTGTCGGAGACAGTGCTGACGAGGTGCGCAAGATTATCAATCGACTCCAGCTGGGGGAGGACATCGCCGTCGCTTGTGAGAATTCACCCCGGTCAACCACGACATCTGGAGATGCCATTGCCATGGAACTTCTTGCAAAAGAGTTGGAGGCGCGACAAATCTTTCACCGCAAGCTTCAAGTTAACGTTGCCTACCACTCTCCCCACATGGAGCTGATCGCCGATGATTATACCAGCGCCATCCAGCAGGTTGCGCCGTCAACGAAGAAGGATAATGTCCAGTTTTACTCCTCGCTGTTAGGTCAGAAGGTAGAGCAGCCCGGAGTTCTGGGGGCATCATACTGGGTGGATAATCTGACGCATCCGGTCCGATTCTCAACAGCGCTGGGGCAGCTGTGCACCGAAACCAAACCCGATGTCATCATTGAAATTGGTCCGCATTCCGCATTGCAGGGCCCGATCAAGCAGATTCTGCAGGGTCTCCAGAACACGCACACCCAGTACTTTGCTTCCCTCGTCCGCAATGAACATGCCACTAAGGCCACCCTCCAGCTTGCGAGCCGGTTGTTTCTGGCTGGTCAAGACCTGTACTTTGGCGAAGTCAACCAGACTTTCGCGGATGAGTCGACACCAGCACTGATAACAGCCTTCACCCCGTGTCCCTGGTCTCATCGGTCTTACTGGCGGGAGTCTCGCATCACCTACAACCACCGACTGCCGCGCTTCCCTCGGCACGATATGCTGGGACAATTGGAAGCCTCCGCCTGTGAGGATGAACAACCTGTCTGGCGAAATGTTTTCACACTGGATAAGATGCCATGGCTCCGCGGTCATCGTATGCAATCCACGACTACCTTCCCGATGGCCGGCTACGTCAGCATGGCAGTCGAGGCGGCAAGTCAACGGGCCCAGCTGAGGGGCATCTCGCTGTCCCAGATCGCAGGGTACCGGCTCCGCGAGTTCCATGCTTCCTCGGCGTTCACCCTGGAGGAGAACGTCGAGTACGAGACCTGGCTCTCTCTAAGCGCGTTCACGGAAGGCACCCGCTCCTACTCCAGCGAATGGGACGAGTTTCGAATTGCCTCATGGGCGGCTGGTCGTGGTTGGCGAGAGCATTGTCGTGGTCTCGTCGGCATCAGACGCCAGGAGTCGTCTACCTCCAACCCTGTCAGCGAGAGCCGACCATTCCATGCCAGCTTAAAACGAAGGGAGGAGGCTAGCCAGGGTGAATACCTCCCTGTGTCTCCAGAGGCCTTCTACGCCGATCTAGGGAGTCGCGGAGCGGGATACAGCGATGCGTTCGCATTCGGTTCAGACAGCGGGTTGACCGTCGGGGGCGCAGGCACCGGGTCGAGCAGGTATGCACGCGGCAGGGTTACAGTCCCTGCAACGGCACAAACTATGCCGTCAGGCCATGAGTCACCGTTGACTGTGTTTCCTGCCTTCCTGGATCTGTGCGTCCAGTTGTCCTTCCTGGTTCTAGGGGCGGGTCATGACAGTATTCCGTGCCTCTTCATGCCAACTTATATCCGGGAAATAAATATTGCAGCCAATTTCCCATCTCAGCCGGGCGCGACAGTTGAAACCCTCGTCAATGGTCTGTCGGCAGACATTTCCTGTCCCCGGGCAGTAGACTTTACCATTGATGCGTGGTCTCCTGCATCCGCAGAGCAGCCCGTGCTCACTCTTCTTGGCTTCCGGATGGTCCCCGTCAACAGTGACATGTTGGTCGAATCTCGCCCGCATCCATGGTGTTACACGGCGCAGTGGGAGCCCGTATCGTTTCCTTTCAAAGCAAATGGCACAGCTCCCACTACCCTAGAGAGTAATAGGAATGGTCAGGTTAATGGACATGGGCATGGCGAAATGAATGGGACTGGCGTTACCCATGCCAACGGCTGTCACAGCACATCTAATGGGCACAAGCAAGAGTCGTCATCTGATGACGAGACGACCATCGTTATCGTTAGCGAGAGAAACAGCTCTGATCCACTCATCGCTTCGCTCTTGAAAGCTATCGAAACCAGTACAGTGTACACTGCCACTGTAGTCCCCCTATCCCGCGCCCCCATCTCATCCAAGTATCGATACATCTGTTTGGCTGAACTGGACGCTCCGCTGTTGCAGTCATTGACCTCAGAATCCTTCAAGCTGGTCCAAGAACTCCTCATCACATGCTTCTACTGTCTCTTGGTCACCTCCACCTCCGGTGCATACTTGGCTGTCGATCAACCCGAGCTCAACCTCAGTCAGGGACTTCTGCGTTCTGTGCGTTCAGAGACTGGAAATGCAGCTTTCAGCCTCGACCTGGATCCCAGCTCTAGGCAAGACATAGCAGGTCGAGTCCATCTGATTATGGATGCCTTCAAAGCGTCGATCAGACCTGATCAGAAAGCCGCCAGTGACGAAGACCAAACACCTTTGACTACGAGTTCACTGAAGTTGGTGGGCGTCTGATGGTTCCTCGTCTAGCAGAGCAAACTGAGCTGAATAACACTCGCTTCCAAGAGACCCATCCGTCCCTTCCGTACGCGCAGGGCTTTGACCAAGGAACAGATCGTCGGCTGAAGATCGCTATCGGTACATTGGGCGCCCTAGACTCCCTCTACTGAACGGATGATCCGGCTCAGGCGCTTGGCGACGACGAGATCGAGATTCAAGTGGCTTGCACCGGAGCCAACTTCAAGGATGTGGTAATTGCCATGGGCCAAGTCGCAAGCCCTTACTTGGGTATCGAGTGAAGTGGCACGGTGGCTCGTGTTGGAGCCCATGTCAGTTCCCTCAAGCCCGGAGACCGCGTATGTGCCATGTCCCACGGCGCGTATAGCACCTACGCGCGGTGTCCAGCAAGCAGCGCAGCTCTGATTCCGGACTCTATGGATTTCGAAATGGCAGCTTCTGTTCCTATCACTTACAGCACGGCTTACTATGGACTTGTTGAGCTGGCTAAGATGGAAGCCGGTGAAAGCATCCTCATCCATGCAGCTGCGGGAGGTGTCGGCCAGGCCGCAATCCAGCTGGCTCAGTTGATGGGAGCCGAGATCTATGCCACGGTAGGCAGTGAGGAGAAGAAACAAATGCTAATCGATCGATACTGTATCCCGGCAAGTCGCATCTTCTACAGCCGCAACACCGAGTTCGGACCTTGCATCCGTGAAGCGACAAATGGCGACGGCGTGGACGTGATCTTGAACTCGCTTGCCGGTGAGTTCCTTCGGGAGACATGGGACTGCCTGGCGCCCTTTGGTCGGTTCATTGAAATTGGGAAGCGGGATATTACGTCCAATAATCGGCTGGAAATGGGCAAGTTTGAGTATAATTGCACGTTCTCCTCTTTGGACTTGGCGCATGTCGCGGAGCGCAGAGGCAAGATCCTTAACCGGGTTCTCACTACTATCATGCAAATGTTTGCGCAGGAGATACTGACTCCCGTCCATCCGGTGACGACTGTCGGAATTGCGGATGTGGAATCGGTGCTGCGCAAGTTGCAGAGTGGAAAGACGACAGGAAAGGTTGTTGTGGATCATCGGATAAATGGGAAGGTCAAGGCCACGCACCCCCTTCCGTCCAGTGACCTTCTTTCGCCCGATGCCACGTATGTTATTGTCGGTGGCACCGGAGGTATTGGCCAGTCTATCACTCGGAGGATGGTTCAGCGTGGAGCTAGGCATGTTGTCCTGCTCTCCCGCAGTGGCACCACCACGGAAGCTATGCAAAAGGTTATCAGCGAATTTCACGCCGTGGGTGCATCGATCTACATCAGAAAATGCGATGCGTCTGAAGTCTCGCATGTCGAGGAGATGGCTACAGAACTACAGAAGGAACTGCCTCCGGTCAAGGGTGTTATTCACGCAGCCATGGTCCTCAAGGTACTTATATCCCCAATTTCCTGTTTTCCTCTTTTGAGTGCATGCATCTAACGTTCAGCAGGATATTCTTTTCGAACAAATGACCTTCTCAGACTGGGATGCCGTCCTGCGACCCAAGGTCGCAGCAGCCTGGAATCTCCACAACGCTTTTCTCCACCAGCCACTGGACTTCTTCGTCATGCTCTCTTCTGTTGCCGGCATTGTCGGTAACCGCGGTCAAGCTGCCTATGCTGCGGGTAACTGCTTTCTGGATGCGTTGGCGCGCTACCGCCGCCAAAAGGGGTTATCCGCAGTATCCATTGATCTCGCAGCGGTAGGCGATGTCGCCGTGCTCTCCGATGATGCGGAGAAAAAGGCACAGGTGATGAAGAACCTAGCATCAGGCAACACGATGCAAGAAGTGGGGGTGCTCGCCCTAGTTGAGATGGCGATGCAGGGACGCCTGACCAACTTCAATGCGGACTAGTGCATCACTGGTGTGCATTGGGCTCCCCCGAGCCCAGCTCCATACTACGCCTCCGATGCCCGCTTCACCCAACTCGTCGAAGCCGCTAGAAAAAGCGAAGCCACCGATACTGCCAATTCCTCATCCACGAAATCCCTCTCTATTACCCAGCAACTTCGCCGCGCGGCCAATCTCCAGGCAGCCCTGGACATTGCGGCTGTCAGCCTGCGCGACAAACTTGGCGAGATTCTCATGCTCCCCCGAGAAGTGGTGGAGGCGCATACGCAGTCGACTCCATTTGCGACGTTTGGGTTGGATTCGTTGAATGCGATTGAGTTGAGAAATTGGATTGGAAAGGAGCTGAAGGGGCATTTGCCGGTTCTGGAGTTGTTGTCGGCGGCGACTTTAGGAGACTTGGCTCTGTTGGCGTTGAAGAAGTCGACGTTGGAAGGGGCGTGGAAAGTGGAAGTCTTCAACTGATGTGGCCCTCTCGAGTGTCCCTATGATTGCGTAGCTCTATTGAGCGGCTTTGAATATGACATTCAGGGGAATATATAATGACCTGTGCTCTGTACCTAGTTCCTATCGGAGAGAGTCTGCGATGTAATCTAACATATTCGTGAACGTCTCAACTACTGGAAGTAATCAAGGTATGTGATTGATGAGTAAGTTTGCAGCGGAGATTGCGTTCAATGGAGTGAGGGTTAGTCAATGCTAACCTCATACGAAATACAAGTATCAGTACTAGGAAGAGGAGAGTAGTGCCGATGAAAATATATTAACGGCGAAAATAGTGACAAATTCTTGGTGGTCCTTTCCCAGGACATTACACTTCACCATAAATGAACATTGCTAGAGCATTCGTCATCATATCCTACTCGTGCATGAAAGACATCAGAAGCCCCATCTCCGTTCATAATTATCTTAACTTCCAAGATCGTCTGAATTGGAAATATGACACAGCCTGCCTCCCACGTTCCTTTGATGTCGGTCAAGTATTTATAGATATTAATCTCAAGTTGCCTTTCATGTATGGAGAATGATATGAAATTGTATGCCATCTTCCGCATCATTGGTCCACTTGTATAGTATTTGAGTACTTCTGTATACTGAAAGGGGACGATAGAGGGATTTTGCATGACTAGCTCACATAGATAAATAAAGCACCATTTATCATATACCAGCATCATTGGTCTAGTGGTAGAATTCATCGTTGCCATCGATGAGGCCCGTGTTCGATTCACGGATGATGCATTCTTTTTTTCCATCTTCCTCTTTTGCCTCCTCTCACCCTCCCTTCTGCCTGAGTGGGAGATCCACTCGGTTTTCTAGTTGCGTACATATATCAAAAGAAGGAATAATACAGAAAAAGTTGCAAAACTCCCTGTAGACAGTGTTCTGTCTCCCGTGTCTCTCCTACCTTATTATGCCCCCCGACTTGTCATGCCACCACCCCATGGCAATGGTCTGATGACTTGCAGAGGCAGGAATACCCCGTCTGGGGTGTCTGAAGAACTGCACGTCCGAGCCACCCCCGCAGGAGAGACTTGGTGAGCTTAATTGCGTGGTTTGCGAATTGCGAGACATTCTCCCCTGATCGCCGAAACCCGCCAATCGGCGAATCCCATGCCCTCCGAATCCCCTGCGGTTAAATACCATCCCCTCTCCTCCACCGGAGATTGTCCCTGGGGATAGTGCGCTATGATTCTTACTCAAATAAGAGTACAACTATCGCTCTACTTCCCTTCACCATGACGCACACCCATCATGCGGTCCCTACAGGTCCTCGCGCTGGCAGGCGTCCTCGGCGCGTCTGCCCTTGATGCCGACTCGATCTTGAGCAAATACTTTGGGAACGATGCGCCTTGGTATAGCGATCGGATTCCTCTCTTCGAGACTGATCTCTCCGACATTCAAGATGTCTATTACTATCGTTGGAGCATATTTCGGGCCCATCAGCGCGACCTTGGTTCCTACGGCTACATCACGACAGAGTTCCTCAACGACGTCAGCTGGCAGGAAGAACCTTATGCTCTGCTGATCGATGCCTCCAATTTCCATCTGCGCGAAGGCCGCTGGTGTCGCGACCGCCGCTTCACCAGCGACTACTCGTCCTTCCTCTTCGGCCCAAATGGGGACCCCTACCAATTCTCCGAATGCATGGCCGACGGCGTCTGGCAGGCCTACCTGGTCAACGGTGTCGCCGATGATGCCACACCCCTACTCTCCTCCATGCAGACCGTCTATGCCGGCTGGAACTCCACCACCCTCGGCGTCGGCGGCTACGACACCTCCAAGGACCTTTACTGGATCCAGCCCCTGACCGACGCGACCGAATACACCATCGCCAGCATCGATGCCTCTGGCGGCGAAGACGGCTTCACAGGCGGATATGCCTTCCGACCCAGCATCAACAGCTACCAATACGCCAATGCCCTGGCGATAGCCCATATCGCCAACCTCACCGGCGACAGCGCCGTCCAGGAGAAATATACCCAGCTCGCCAGTGCCCTCAAGACGCGCCTCCAGGACGACCTTTGGAACAGTACCTTCGAGCACTTCATCGACCGCTACGAGGAAGACAATGAGTATGTCACCTACTGGGACTTCATCCGTGGCCGCGAACTCGTCGGCTACGTCCCCTGGACGCACGATCTCCCCGACGACAACACCACCTACGCCAATGCATGGTCTCATATCCTCAATTCCTCGCAACTAGCGGGCGAGCACGGCCTCCGCACCAACGAGCCCAGCTACCAATACTACATGGTCCAGTACCGCTATGATGGCTCCAACCCGGAATGCCAATGGAACGGGCCCGCCTGGCCCTATCAAACCACGCAAGTCCTGACGGGCCTCGCCAACCTCCTCGACCACTACCCGAAAACCGCCGCAACAGGCGTCATCACCACCGGAGACTACACCAACATCCTCCGCCAGTACGCCCAACTGCACTACAACCCCGCCCGCGGCGGAGTCCTTGACATCGAAGAAGACTACTACTCCGACACGGGTAGCCCTATCGTCGGCTTGCCCCGCTCTCCGCACTACTTCCACTCGGGCTTCGTCGACCTCATTCTCTCGGGCTACGTGGGCATCCGGCCTCGCGCGGATGATGTGCTGGAAGTAAACCCCCAAGCGGACGCCTCGGCAGTGAGCTACTTTCGCGCCGAGCGCATCCTCTACCACGGTCACGATGTTGCCGTGCAATGGGACTCCACGGGCAGTCAATACGGCACGGTAGGTCTCGTCGTCGAAGTCGACGGCGAAACAGTGGCCACTAGCAAAACCCTCACCCGTCTCACGGTTGAGTTAAGCTCCGCTTCTGCGCCGGAAGTATCCCGCCCAATCGCCGTCTCGGTGCAACTCGCCGCTGATAGCGAGTATCCTCGGGGTAGTGTATCTGTGGCAGACGCCGACACAGACGACGTGCACGCGGCCATCGACGGACGGGTTTGGTTCTATTGGATCGAGGACGTAGCGAACGGATGGGATAGTCCCGTCGGCAATGGGACAGAAGTGTGGTACCAGGTGGAATTTGAGAATGCGACAAGCACAGCAAGTGCCGAGATCGCGTTCTTTGCGAATAGTACGCAGGGGTATGATGTGCCGGAGAGCTATCGGGTGGATAGCACTGGCTCAACAGGGGAGTGGGAGGAAGTGAGTAATGCGAATTATAGCTCGGCGGTGGCGAATGGAATCACGACGGTTAGCTGGGATGAGGTGAAGACGGAGGCGTTGAGGTTGGTGTTTACGCCTAAGACGGGGGAGATGGTGCGGTTGGTGGAATGGAAGGTGTTTGGGTAGTGACAGAGTGCGGGAGTTGTCTCTAGGGTGTGAGGGATTTTTTGCTTGTTTCACTAGGTCTTGGTATAGGTATATTGATTGTGTCTATTATTTCCGAATAAAATGGGGCAGGGGCTAGATGATCGTTGGTCGATATGCTGCCACCTGGCTGCATTGTTATTCTTCTTCAAGAGGAAGGGGTAGTAATCGTACCCACCGTTGATTAATCTATATCCGAACCTCAACCAAGGATCAGAGATCCTGTCAGCTAATGGTTGATGAGAAATGCTGCGCAAGCATTATTACCAGGAGGGTTAAACGTTCAACAGGTACCATTGTGCATGTGGAAACTACACATCCTGCGAAACCTTTATTTGAGATTGTAGATAGGGAGGTCGGCTAGATAGTACTACTAATAACAACACAGATATGTATCCTAACGTCCGTATGATCAGCGACTTAAGCAATGTACATCAAACCCTGCACAAGTTCATCATCACTAATCCTTGTCCCACCCTCTTCCTCCACAAGCAAGTTCATGAGTAGCATAAAGCAGCCCCTCGTTGCATATTACCTAATACAGTTAGTACCACCGCCAATACCAACCAATAACAATGACACCGGAGCATAACTCCCAATCTAGAATGCCGAAATCCGATTTACGTTCCAAGATTGCCCAAAGCAGTAATATCCTCTGATTCAGACAACTTGGATTGTTCTCTCTCGCCCCACTCAACGGTTTCATTCTGATTCTTGTTTTCTCTTTGCTCGGGAATAACACAGTGCTCGGTTTGCCGTGTTTAGTGCTTGTGCCCGATGCCCGCTACATAGTGTATGTGGCGGATGATGTAGATGGTGGGTAAAACATACATGGATATGGTATGATGGAGTTGCACAATGCGGAACAGGTAATACTCTACGACGGCACTGTGGCCCCTGGTTCAGACCAGTCAGGGTACGTAATGCAATCATACCGAAGGAATATCAAAATACTACTAACAGAAACAGGATATCCCTCTTATCTAGATACTAGACTATCGCCGAGACGGATATCCCGCCGCCACAGCCGGACCGGAGACTTGGTTTGCTAAGCTTTCGGGGTGTGGATGGAGTCCGTGGTAAATGGATAGATTTGCCAAGGTTCTTGTTCTTGATAATTGAGATGAGAGGATTGAGATTCGGTATTCCATCTATGTCTATGGTAATGGATTGGTTGTTGGTGCATGAACGTAGTCGTTAGAGTTATAGTAGGTTTAGTTGATACTAGTAGATGATGCACATAGCCCTGCCGGTACTTTCTAGAATTGATCGGCAGCGTCACTGCAGACTGCTCCACCGGCATAAGTCCGTCTAGTGTCACCGTTTGCCTGGATAATCGGCTCCTCCCCTGGCCACCATAATGTCCAGGTTCTTGTTTGAAATCGCGCACTGAAATGACACCTGGATATAAATACCTCGCAATTTCGCTCGATTTATGGTTCTATCCTCATCATCGCATCGTGTTCTGTTCGTTCTTCACTGCTCAAAATTGTTCTCATCGCATATAGACTTGCTTTTTCCAAACTATACTTCATATACTCTAATACTACTTACTACGCCAATGGCCACCACTCCCGGACAACGCCTCCTCCCCGTGGTCGTCGACCACATCGCTCAAGCCAACCCTGCTCAGCGCATCGGTCTCATCCCCACGG